TGGATAGACTGGGATAACAAGGTATAGAGCTGGATGAACACAGCAGGCTAAGCAGCATCAGAGGAGGAGGAAAGCTGACATTTCGGGTCTGGACCCTTCTTCAGAAATGGATAGACTGGGACGTTTTTCACTGGCGTGTAGGAGGTTGAGGGGTGACCTTATAGAAGTTTAGAAAATCATGAGAGGTATAGATGAGGTGAAAAGCAAGGGTCTTTTTCCTAAGGTGTGGGAGTTCAAAACTAAGGGGCATACTTTTTAAAGTGAGAGGAGAAAGACTTAAAACAGGACATGAGGAGCAACTTTTTTACATAGAGAGTGGTTAGTATGTGGAATGAACTGCCAGAGGAAGTGGCGGATGCGGGTACAGTTACAGCATTTAATAGACAATTGGATAAGTATGTGAATATGAAAGGTTTGGAGCAGTATACCACGATATTGTGCCAACATTATGACCATATCACTTAAAGGTATGCTGCATATCTGTTATGGGGTATAACGTAACTGTGTACTACTACTGAATTTGTCCTAGGCTTGAAACACAGTCTGGAGTAAGTTAGTAAATATCAGCTGGGGTAGTGCTAGAGATAAAGTGTCTTCTGTGTCCCTGATGACCATGGCCTCCTTTTACCTGACCCACCACTCAGTTGCCTGTTGCATGCTTTGATGAGCTTGTCACCATAATGAACTCATAATGTATCTTCCTGGTTGTTTCTCCAGGGTGATCCTCAACGTCACTCCCTTAAATAAAATAAGTGAAGGCTTGAATGCCTATAAAAGACAGTCGCTTTAACTGTATATGTCCATATCAGTTAGGACCAAGTATTGCATCTTAACCACCCAGCACTAAAACTACTCACTGTGCCAGGATCATCCTGGAATACAAAGATAATTCTGGCCCCCTATTCCCTACCACATCCCACATCCTTAAACACTTATCCCTGCATTCTTTCCCATTGCCCGTGTAGTGCTTGGAACCAGGCGGGCCTTGTTGACTATGAGATCCCTGATTGGGGTTGTTAACTTGGGTCATTCAGGATCCACTGGCTGACCAATATAAACAGGGGATTTAGAATCTTCTCAGTTCAGGGAACTGACTCTGAGCTAGCTGGCCACAACCAGTGTACTGTACACATGTAAATAAAGGATGACTTGGTGATGGGATACCGGCCTCTGTGCAGTTATTTTAGCCCACAAGGAGCTCATAAACATTTTTTTCAAAGCTTAAGACCATTTGTTTAGTTGCCCCTGCCCGCTCTCTCTTGCCCGCTTGGCTACATTTCCTCTGTGATTCCCAAATTATTCTGCCCTAACTTGCAGCTTGGTCTATTTTCCCTCCTGTTTCCCAGCATGTCCTCTCTGAGCTCATCTTGCTCTGCTTCTTTGACCCTATCTGATCAGTGTTGGTCACCCAACTTCCCTTCCAGCCTCCCAGTGTAGCTGATGTTGTTAATGGTTTTCTCTCTCCAGGGAATGATCCTCCACATTAAATCTGCTGACATCACTTGTCACCTCAAAAAAACACTTAAAAAATTATCTTAAGCTGTCGTCTCTTCCTAAATTTTAGTGAAACTTCAATGCTCAGTTAGCTCCAGTTATAAGTTTTCAATCCATCACAACATTGGAGCAGCTTTTAGCAAAGTCACAAATGACTTTGATAAAAGCTGCTCCAATATTGCCTGTGACTAGTGGTGTGCCGCAGGGGTCAGTGCTGGGACCTTTGTTATTTGTTATTTACCTAAATGATCTGGATGTGAATGTAAAAGGCATGATTGGTAAGTTTGCAGATGATAGAAAATTAGGAGGTATCGTTGATTGCAAGGAAAGTTATCAAAAATTACAGTGGGATCTTGATCAGATGGTGAAGTGGGCTGAGGATTGGCAAATGCAATTCAATACAGATAAATGTGATGCATTGCAGTTTGGAAAGTTAAACCAAGGTAGGACTTATACAGTAAATGGTAAGGCCCTGAGGAGTGTTGTGGAACAGAGGGACCCAGGAGTACAATAACATAGTTTGTTGAAAGCGGCATCATAGGTAAACAGGGTAGTGAAGAAGGCATTTAGCTTATCGGTCAAGGCATTGAGTATGGGAGTTGGGTCGTTATGTTACAGTTGTATAAGTCATTGGTGAAGCCGCACTTGGAATATTGTGTACAGTTTTGGTCACCCTGTTATGGGAAAGACATAGTTAAACTGGAAAGTGTGCAAAGAAGATTCATGAGGATGTTGCTAGGACTAGTAGACCAAATTATAGGAAGAGTTTGGCCAGGATAAGACTCTATTACTGGGAACTTAGGAGAATAAGGGGTGACCTTACTGAGGTGCATAAAATCATGAGGGGCATAGATAGGATTGATTGATTTTATTGTCACATATACCAAAATGCAGTGAAAAGCTTTCTTTATGAGCAGGACAGAGAAATCACAGCAGCAAAGGATGTACAGATGAAAAAAACTTAGAGGCATACAGGTTACATTGCAGGTTACATTATTTGCGGCTAGAGTTCATCCATTAGTCTGATAATGCCCGGACAGAAACTGTTCCTGAACCTGCTGGTGTGTGTGTTCAGCCTTCTGTATCTCCTGCCTGACGGAAGACGTTGTAGGAGGTCATTATCACAGTGTGATGGGTCTTTGATGATGTTGGCCAGCTTTCCATGTGAGCCGTGTAAATAGAGTCCATTGGTGGAAGGTTGGCTTCTGTGATGGTCTGGGCTATGCACACCACCTTCTGTAGTTTCTTACGGTCCTGGGCTTATGCATATAGTCTTTTTCCCAGGGATGGGGAATTGAAAACTAGAGGGCATAGGTTTAAACTGAGAGGGGATAGATTTAAGAAGGATCTGAGGGGCAACTTCTTCATGCAGACAGTGGTGCATGTATAGAATGGGCTGCCAGAGAAAGTGCTTGAGGCAGGTACAATAGCAACATTTAAAAAACATTTGGATAGGGTCACGAATGGGAAGTCTTTAGAGGGATATGGACCAAATGTGGGCAATTGGAACTAGTTGAGTGGGCACCATGGTCAGCATGGACCAGTTTGGGCTGAAGGGCCTGATTCCATGCTGTATTATTCTATGACTCTATGACTGTATGTCTTCCTTTATGACCTGGACCATGATGAACTATTCCCTTCTTTTCAACCTGTTTGCATCCTTGACATGGTTGATAATGTTATCTTCTGCCAATGCTCCTGCTCAGTTTTCCAACGAGATGGTACTGAATTCCTCTAATTTAGTTTTTATCGATCCAGTTATAGCTGACCAATCACCTGCGATGCCTTTTTTTGAATTCCCGCACCTATACCTCTGGAGCTTCCCGAGGATCCATCCTTGGCTCTCTACCATTTCTCATTTCCACACTACCCTTTGGCACATTCATTGAAAACTCTTGGGTTCCACATGCATGCAGATGACAATGAGTTCTACCTCACTGTTTCAAGCTTACAGAGCAAACAGGCTCGTTTCTATAGTGTTATTACTGAACTTGCTATAAGGTGGCTGCCTGCACTAAGTTTGTGCCTCATGGTGGAAGTCACATGATTATGGCTAGCCAGAAGGCACTCTAGTATAATTTTGCAATTTTTCTATCCCAAATACTCACTGACATCTCTCCTAGTCACTCCACTGCCTCTGATTTGTCATGTTGTTTATCTGACTTGCAGTGCTGGATATCCAGAAACTTCATTCAACTAAGCATCAGGAAGAGTGATGCCGTCATCTTTCCTCGCCATCACAAATCATGTTCCCCAGCACAAACTCTTTAAGTCTACCGGTTAAGCTTCTGAGGTTGAACCAAAACGTAGCAGTCTTGATGCTATTTTTTATTCTGAGCTGACTCACCAATCATATATCTACTGTATCACTAAACTGTTTTTATTTCAAGCCCATAATATTGCCCATTTTTGTCCTGCCTCGGCTAATCTACTGCTGTAACCCTAATCTATGCCTTTCTTACACATAACAGTGTTAATACACTCCTGACTGGAATCCCACATTCTACCCTCTTTAACCTTGAGGTCACCCAAAACTGGGTGACTCACACTTTGCCCACATCAAGTCCTATTTCACTCATCCCCCCTATCCTGCCTAACCTACATTGATTACCATTCTGGCAATGCCTCGGTTTAAGTCTCAACTCTGTTTTAAGATCCCTCCTGTCTATCTGTGTAACATCTTCTGGCTTTACAGGCATTTGAGATCTTTCAAACTCCTCCAATTCTGGTTTCTTAAACTTCCTGAATTCACTTTGGTCCGTTATTAATGCACAAGCCTTCAGGTGCCTAGGGCATATGTTCAGGAATTTTTCTTTGACCCTCTTAGCTTCTCTGCCTCTTTTTTCCTCCTTCAAGACATTTTAAGACATCCTTTCTCTTTGAACAAACTTCTGGTCATCAATTTTGATATCATCTCCTATGACCCAGTGTCAGTGTTTGGTTGCTAATGCTTTATTAACATCAAATGTGTAATTTAAATGCAAGTTTTTGTTGCCAATCCAATTGATGTCCCTGGCTGTAGTTTATTACTGTTGCCATGTCTTACTCTCATTAGCTCACACTATCAATTTTGGCAGCTATTAGACAGGAAATGATGCAAAAAAATATAAAAATTTCGAACAGTTGGGCCTCCTCAGTACCTTCCCTACCAATATGATATCGCTTCAGATATAGAACCATCCCAATTTATATCCTAAAACACTGTTTGTGATCAATAAAACAGGGCTCTGCCAATCAGCCTTTTATAGTAATGACTAGAAAGTATTTACAAAATGCCAACCAGTATTTAAGGATTGTGGTATTTATTCCATCAGTGAAACTGACAAATTCATTTATCTCTGAATTTTAAGAATGATTAAGGCAGAGGTTTTAAAGAGGTTGTTGAGAACTCTAGCTATTACCTTATTTATCTTTTTAAACAAGTGTTTATGCTTAATGCCTGCAGTTTTAAGTGACATTGCTTTGATATCACAATTCCATAACATAAAACATTATTGTTTCTTTAGGGTGAGAGAGGTCCACATGGATATAATGGTACAGTTGGAGATGATGGATGTCCAGGTGCTAAGGGCTTCACAGTAAGGATATGTTCCTAATCTCTTCATGCTAATGACATTAAAAAAAATAAGTATCACAGATGAGTCTTACAATTTTACAATCAACTGTATGTATATTTCAGGGAAGACGAGGTTATCGAGGACAAAAGGTAAACATGGATTTTTAAAAAAATTTCTGGTACACTTTTGCATGAAACTTGGACATTTCTTTAAGCCGGATCTTTCTACGTTTACACCGTGTACTAAAACCTGTGTCCTCTTCTAACAGGGTAGTGATGGAGACATTGGCATTGATGGAATAACTGGAGAGCAGGTATAAATTTTTTGAACCAGACTTGCTTGGAAAGACCATTCATAAATGCAGTATAATGTCGTAATAAACTGTGAGATGACAGCATATAAATCAAACTGTGAAGCCTTAGACATCTCTTCAAAAATTAGGGTTGACTTGCCTGTACCATGGATACAAGTGAACCATTGGTTTGGGTGGTCAGCATTTTTGGCAATTACCAAGGGAGATCCATTCTATGTGGGCTCGTCTCAAATTTGTGGAAATTTTCATTAAACAGCTCATATTGCATGTTTGCTCCCTTTTACCCAATTATACACAATAGGCAATTATAACATTGATTTGTGGGGTGCAAAATTGAGGTGGATTGCTCATACAAGTGTACATGTCATGACTGAAAAGACCAAGTAAATGCAAAAACATGAACTCTGAGGCAGAAAAATTGGGTCGTTATACACAAAGGATTAATTTATATCCAGTGATCTACATAATACATTTAATATATAGCATGTAAGGGTTAATATACTACTTAAGAATATGGTGTTCTTACAGGGAGATTATGGACTTGCTGGACCTGCTGGTGAAAAAGGCATTCGTGGAAAACCGGTAAAATCTTTCCTGTTGTCTGTTAATAATTACTGAAACAGAGAAATTCCCTGCTTTGTGGAGAATTGTCCTGTTTCAATGATATAAAAGGGAAAAAATGCAAGTGCAGGAAATATATAATAATTTTCTTGGCATTTATAGAGACAAAAGGCAAGATAGTGTTTCAGGTACAGTTCCTAGTCTAAATTTTCAGGCATCCTTCTTTTCCCTGCCAACATTGAAAATTGGAATGGCTGTATTTGTTGATATCCAACAACATGCATGCTAATAATGGAATCACTGAAATAAATCAAAATAACAAATGGTAAAAACTTAACAAACCTTTAAAATGTAAAAGTATAGATGCAAAGAAAAAATGTAAAAACAATTAAAAATTGGCTTTATAATGCATGTACATATAAATATGAGTATTTAACAAAAATCAGAATTGAGTATACACTGTCAGATTATAATAATTGAATGGGAGGTGGCAGTAGACATTCTCAATTGGAAAATTGTATACCTGCGGTTGGCATGGATTTGCAAAGTTTCCATCAACCCCTAGTTATTGTTTAATTGTGTGAATGTTGTACATACTCTGCCTACTGAAATAACTTGGGGGACCCCCTCCCATCAAAACATCTTTAACAATCCAACCGCCAAAGTTTGCTGTTTGACAGGATTCAGTGCAGGCACAAGCCTAAAGAACTCAACAACTTCTTTCTGTGCCGTTTCAATGGGCAAGATTTCAACTGCTGACTTCGAACAGGGTTTCTTCTTTCTCAAAATCCAATTTCACTGGGCTGGTGTCTATGGTGTACTGTCTACACAGATCCAATGTACATCACATAATTCATAGTTGATGTGCTTCCACCTGATCCATGCTGATGTCTTTCAGAATATAACATTTCTTTTTCTTTTTCAAGGGCTCCACTTGAGATTTTATAGAGTCATACAGCACAGAAACAGACTCTTCAGTCCAATCAGTCCATGCTGAACATAATCCCAAACTAAACTAGCTGCACTTACCTGCTCCTGGCCTATATCCCGCCAAACCTTTTTTATTCGTGTACTTATCCAAATGTCTTTTAAATGTTGTAATTGTCCCAACATCCATCATTGCCTCTGTGCAAAATATTTGCCCCTTTTTTTTTTAAATTTCTCTCCTCTCACCTTTAAAATATGCCCCCTAGTCTTGAAATCCCCCACCCCAGGGAAAAGACAACTACTATTAACTCTATCTGTACCCCTCATTATTTTATAATCTTTTATAAGTTTATAGAGGACTATTCTTGATATCCGGAGATTATATTTTGTTTCTTTTCAAGGGCTCTGCTTGAGATATTCTGGAAGACTAAATTTGAATTCCAGAGATTATATTTTGGTTTATGGAGTCTCCTTTTTAATGCTCAATATCTCCTTTACAACCTCCTTTATACTTCTCATGCAACATTACTTTTTGCATTCGTGTTGATGTATGAATCATTTGAATTCACATAACAGCAGAATTAGAAAAATGCATCAAAATCCTCAATAATTATCAACTGTTTATTAAACTGACACATTCTTATTGACACAAAAGGCCATTACATTAAACATGTCTTGAATAAAGTGTTTGATCACTTACACACATCTAGAATATTTTAGCCAGGTAGTTATCATCATTATTTCATCTCAGATCTAAATCTTAGATTAAAATTTAACAACTGACACAGCATTCATTAAAAAAGCATTCAGTACATTTTTCCTTTAGCTTCTGAACATATGACACCTTAGACTAGAGATTCCACATTCATTTACAATAACTTACAAACATTCATTAACAAAACAAGACCAGCTTCATTAGAGATGTTTAAAAATATGACAGAATGGGGCAAAATAGATGGATGCTAAGTGTTTTCCGTCATCGAAACACTTGTATAAGAGGATATTAACAAAATTAACCACAAGAGATCTCTGATGGAAAGCAGGAACATTTTTTTTAGACAGATGGTTGTGAGGCTGCGGAATGCAGAACTGAGGTTAATTACGGAGACAGAGATCCTATCTACATTCAAGTGAAGTTTAAATAGGTGGTTGAAGGAAGAAGAGATAAAGGGATAAGAAAACAGTAGATAACTAAAACTTAGATGATTACTCCTAGAGAGGATCAACATTGCTACAGACTAAAACAGAAATTGCTGGAAAAACTCAGCCAGTCTGGCAGCATCCGTGGAGAGAAAGCAGTATTAACATTTTGGGTCCAGTGACCCATCTTCAGAACAGGTTGTAGCCAGGAAAAGTTAGTATCTATGCTAAAGATAGGGTGGGGGAAGGGGGAGGAGTAAATAATAGGTGGAGATAGAGCCTAGAGAGAGAACAGCTGGACAGATAAAGAAATCCACAACGGTCAGCCTGGGAGAATGAATAGCTGCAAATTGGGACCATTAGTGGCTGACAATGGGTTGTTTGTGATAGCAGCCCATGTGATGACAAGGCCTGGTATGTGGGGCTGGGTTAAGGACATGGGAGAAGGTGCTCAGGCCCTAAAGTTGTTGAACTCAATATGGAGTGCAAAAGGCTACAGGGTGCACAAGCGGAAAATGAGATGCTGTTCTTCCAGCTTGTGCTGAGCTTCGCTAGAGCACTGCAGCACTCCCAAGAGAGAGATGATGGCCAGGGAACATGGTGGTGGGTTGAAGTGGCAGGCAACTGGAAGCTCAGAGTCACTTCTGGGGACAGACCTTAGGTGTTTTCCAGGCGGTCGCCTAGCCTCATCTTCCTAATGGGAGATGGAACAATTCAAGAACCAGTCCAAAGCTGATCTCGGCTGCTGATGGCTCCCTTCCTTTTTCCTTATTCCAGCTGCGTAACTTCAAACCTAAATCTGAAACTCAGGGTCGGGTTATCCTGGAAATCAATCCCTGTCACCAAAATTAGACAAACCTTCCAGTCTTGTTTAAATTCTCAGGAACTTGGTCTCTTTAACCCAAATATCAGCTGTTTCCCTGCAGCCCACCCCTTACCCTAACCCCACCACCACCTCATTCTGCATTGTGAACAACAGAAACTGGCTCTGCTGTCTATCAGATTCTTCCAAGGCAGACCGATCTAAAAGGCTCGGGGGTGCCTTAAGGAAAACCCCGTCGTCTAATACTACACTTTGTTCCATGCAATAACTTGCCAATGAAAATGATGGGTGCAGATTTGACTCTTCCATTTAACATTATATAATCGTTAGCTTAAGCTTGTAAAACAAACTTGCACAAATGTCGTGTTCCTGATCTTCTGTGGTTTTGAAAGGACAATAAAAATTGGACAAATTTGTCAGTGGGATGATAACTCCCTCATCCAATTTTCATTGTGTCGTCTGCTCAGGCCACACTCAGGCTACTCTACTTTAGTAAAAAGAAGACCTTTGTACAGTTTAATCGTTGGTGAGTTCTTCTGAACCATGGATCGCAATCATTACATTACGAAATAATTAATACTTTTAAGCTAAGACTTGTGTCATATAAACCACAAAAATTGGAACTCAAATGGTCACCATTATCTGAATTTGCAATAGTTACTATGGCCTTTTAGTAAGCATCAAGCGCAAGAATCAGATTTTTGTCAATGGAGTAGTGGGGGAGCTACCATGCTTAGATTACCATTCTTATTGCATGGAAGGACAATATTTTTCTTTGATTTTTCAGCTAAAGCAAAATTGCAAGATATGAACATTAACTGGACCAATATACCACTTTGACGGACAGGGCTTTGGGTACTCTGCAGATTCCCTGAGTGAATTATAGTGTTCATCTGTCTGGAGTGCAATGTGCTGTTGAAACCAATGAATGAAACCATTCCTAACCTATGGAATCGTTTAAATTCAGCTGATGAGTTTAAATTTATTTCTGATAACTAATACAGCTTCTCTTCATTTCTAGGGTAGAAAAGGCCAGAAAGGTATTCTAGGTGATCGTGGAGAGACCAGTTCGCGTGGAGACCCTGTAAGTAATCTTTAGAAAAAGGCTAGCATGAACATAGATAATCAAAGACTGTGCAGAACATGTTTTCTGCAGTACTGTTCAAACCTGTTTGATAATGTTGTCTATGGAATGCAACTGCTTAGGATTAATTCAATTGAACAATGGGGGGTTTTGATATTAAACTGATGGCTTGGAGGTTTTGCAAATATTAAAGTGTATCATGCTTTTTTTTAACAGTCAGCTGCATTTTCTGTACCCCCTACACCTTGTTATCTCAGATTCTCCAGCATCTGCAGTTCCTACTATTTCTATTTAAGATTTGCTCAAACCTGGTTTGAAGATATAAAAATCCTGTTGCTAGAAATGGAGCTGGAGTTTGGTGCTCCCCAACTCATGGCTGTAAAGGCTAGGGTGGGGGAATATCTTCCCACTGCTTACTCGGCAATCCCTGACACATCAGAAATGTTACAGGAGTGGGAAAGGAGTTGGAAGCAAGCCCATTCTTGAGCCTTTCGAGGCTCTTTTTGTTGCCAGTTAATGGCAACTTGACAGCCTTATCCCACAGCCAGTGTTTTTTCAGTTGTGAGCGGAGGCCCATACCATGTGGGAAGCCCAGCAGCTTTATCTACTTGGGCTCTGACAATCAAGAGTGGGAGGAATCCTTTGGAGCTACTCTGAACCCACTGGAGGCATACCTTGCCAATTTATAGGAACACTCAATCATAAGTATCTGGAAAAGGGATATGCCATTTGGTCCCTTGAACCTACTCTGCCATTTGATAAAATCATAACTGATCTAATTTTTTTCTTATTCATTCATGAGTTGGAGGTATCACTGTCTGGGTCAGCATTCCTAATTGCCCAGAGCGGAGTTAAGAATCAACGACATTGCTGTGGGTGTGGGGCTACATTGTGCCAGATCAAACAAGGATGTCAGATTTTCTTCTCTAAAGGACGTTAGTGAACCAGACGGACTTTTATGATAATCAGCAGTGCTTACATGGTTGTCGTTAGATTAGCTTGTAATTCCAAATGTGTATTTGAAGTTCACCATCTGCCTTGATAGGATTTTAACCCATGACCCCAGAACAATAGCTGGGGTTTTCTAGATAACTCGTCCAGTAACATTACCATGATAACGTTATCTTCCCATACTTTTCTGTTCAGCTCAGGTACTTGAATTCCTTGTGAATCAAGAATCTATTTAAGTTAGCCTTAAAAAAAAACTCAATGACCAGCCCTTGACACTTATCTGGAAAAGCGATTTCCACAGATTAATGATCCTGTGAAAAATAAAAATTCTCCTCATCTCCATCTTAAAAGGAAAATAACATTTTTAAACTGTGGCCCCTAGTTCGAGTCTCTGCAGTAAGAGGGAACATCCTTTCAGCATTTGCTCTGTCAAACCTACTCAGTCTCCTACATGTTTCAATAAGATCACCTCTCATCTTCCCAAACTCCAGTGGATACAGGCTCAACCTTCCCAACATTTCCACATAAGATAACTCCCTCATCCCAGGAATCAGTTGAGTGAACCTTCTCTGAACTGCTTTTATTATAATTATATTCCTTTTCAAACATGGAGATGGAAACTGTACATAGTATTCCAGATGTGGTGTTACCAACCCTCTTTATGACTGCAGAAAAAACTCTTAGACTCCATATCCCTTGCCATAAATGACAACATTCCAATGGTCTTTCTAGTCACTTGTTGTACCCACATGCTAACTTCTGGCAATTTACATACCTGGGTGACAAAGGATCTCTCCGTACTCTAGAATTCTGCAGTATTTCTCTGATGAAATAATGTGTTGCTTTTCTGTTCTTGCCAAAATAGAAAAGTTCACATTTTCCCGTAGTATACTCCATCTAACAAAGTATTTTTTCCCATTCAGTTAACCTATCTCTCATTTCACAATGCTACCTTTCATAACCCTCCTCCTGAAGGGTAATCAGTGCAAGCCCTATGTTCCCCTACTTGCCCATCTTGTCTCCACTCTGACCTTCATTGAAACTACTGAGTATGATTTACCTAGGCTCCTAAACATGGAACTGCCTGTAATCCCAGCTATAGGTCCCAGTGGCATTGGAGCAGTAATCGTACATTCAAACCATATAAACCGATTTCAAGAAGGTCAGCAAAGCAGACACATACTTGCTTTAACCTTTATAAAATAATGGAATTGATTATCAGCACTAAAATTGAGGGCTATACTTACAATATTAACCTAGTCTAAAGTGGTCAACGTGAATTGATAAGGAGAGATCCTATCTGATCTTTACTGTCTGATTACATTTTACAGGCCCTGAATAGTTTCACTTATTTTGTCTTTAGCAAGTATTAACTTGTAGTTTAATATAGGCTTGCTGCAACATGATCACGGATCTTTTTTACCCAAAAAAAAGCATAGAACAAATGCTGCAAGATTGTTATCAAAACTAGCAATTGATTCTGCTTTATGTTTCTTTTGATGAAATTTAGTTTGCAAATCTTATGTTTCTGCAGATTGCAAGAAGTGTTGTTTTTTCAAATCCACTATTGTTCTATTCTTGAACATACATTCTATTTAAATGGAATATAAATCACAATTTCTTATTTCAAATCCAGTTTCTTCTATCTGAACCTCTAGCAATTTTAAATCACTTTATCCAACCTGTTCAATCTTGAGTCTTACTGAAGTCAAACTCAGCTTGATGACTTAAAGAATAAATTTGTTCTCAGTGTGTTTAAATCCTTGCTCCCTGTGTGTAACCCTTGTCTGCTCGACGATTTTCCCATTTGGTAATTGACAAATCCATTACTTGTTTTCCTGGCTTTAAGCTGATTGTTAATGAGAGGCAACAACTGTGGTTATTATGATGTGAGATGAATTGTTTAAAAATGGAATCAGATGCAACAAGGTCTCCTAAACATAATTTTGCAGTTTTCTTTTCCAGAAGTTTTCTGACTGCTGTCTACACCATGAAATCTCACTGCCACATACTCTCAGAATTGGATCTCTCCATCTTTACAATAACTTATCATTCCTATATTTACATTAAGCAGATACATTACCTTATTCAGTTAAGATTGACAGAAAAGTCAGTGGATTTTCTCACCAGTAGTTAGAAAGTAATTCCATGATTCTAATTCTATGACTAGAAACACCTCAGAGCATTTTGCATGCAGCAAATTGCTAACTATTGTTCGTAATTAGATAAAAATTTTGGAAATGTTGCTCACAGCAAGGTCCCAATGACTACTTAATTTACATTTTGTATTGTTGGTTGAAGGAAGACTGTTTTGCTTCAAGTAATGACATGCAGACTTTAAGATGCATCAAGATAAGGCCTTATCTGACAACAAAGCATAGCATTATGAACTGAAACAGAAGGTACTGGAGAAATACAGCAGGTAGGGCAGCATCAGTGTAGAGAAAACCAGTTAACATTTCAAGTCCCATGACTCTTCATCAGAACCGACAATAAGATCCCCAGCATCCAACAGTTGGGATTTGGGATCAAATGTTATGGGGAGAAAACAGGATTAGACTATTGAGTTGGAAAATCTGCCATGATCGTGATGAATGGCGGAGCAGGTTTGAAGGGCCGAATGGCCTCCTCCTGCTCCTATCTTCAATGTTTCTATGTTTATTGTTAATACCCTATTGATAAAGCAGTGTATACTACTGAGCTAAGATCCACACCATCCTAAGTCAGAGAGTGGTGAGTGACACCACTGATCCCAATGTGACTGGTTATTGTACAGATTGTAAAATGGATTTATAATTAAAACATCCTGAAAAAGTTGATAGGCCAGATTCTTTCCTGACTGGTATAGGTTTGCAGCAGGATGCCAGCCAAAAACAAATGCCACTAACTGACTGCGATTTCGACCTAGAACAGTTATTATCCATTTAGGCTGCTTGAAAGGTGGAAAACCCACTTCAGTGGTGGTGTTGGGGTTTGAGACATTCCAGTTTTGATTCAGCACTCAGTTAAAGCGTAAGTCTGTCATTTGTGGTCTGTACAGCACCATTGGGGAAATAGAATGGAATGGGTTAGAGGAGGTAATCACATTCCCTTGTTCCCTTTCGTGGAGAGCAGTAAGTAATTCTGTTGAATCCTAAAGGGGAATGGTAATATCAATAGAAAAGATAATCAAGTGGGACGTTGTTCACTCTCCTCAACTCCAAATGGACTGAGTTAAGTAAGTTATGATGTTGGACATAAATGCATTGGAATATGGGGATCAAAAATTAACATCTGTTTACTAGTGTATTGCCCAATTTGAAATCCCTACACCAGTACAGATCTTGTTGACATACTGTAGCTAGTTCCCAAAGTGCAAAACACTGGTTTGAACAGCTTCTTGAAATCCACTATTTCCTACGAAAATACATTCCTCATGGTGCGTACAGAATTGGTCTTAGCAAGAACGAGTGCAGTTTGTCGAATCATTTAGACACTGGATTTGACCAAACTGTTTACTGTTTCATTTTAAGCAAAGTTTTTTGTGCCTTTTGTGTTTCTTAGGGCGAATCTGGAGCAAGCAATAATGTCCAAGGTCAAAAGGGTGAAAGAGGAAACCCTGGCCAAGTGGTAATTAGTTTTATTTCTCTAACGTATCTACTTGGTGATTTATATTTAGTAACTTACATTTATGATTCACAATTGATATTTTCTTTATGGACATGATAATCATAAATGGAATAACAGTGAAATGTTGTGTTACAGGGTGATCCAGGTAAAAGTGGTAACCCGGGAAAACGTGGTGGTGTTGGAAATCGTGTAAGGAAGTCTCCTTTACTTCATCAGATTCTGTGTGGTTCTATCATGGATATTTATCTAAATTGTTATTTTTCAAATCAAATTCCTTATTTCACATTTGCTGAATGAACCCCAAATGGAAATAGAAGAGATGGCTCAATTCAAATGAAGTTAATTGTCTCGAGAACATTTCGGATTAAGAACAAATTCTCAAGTTGACCATTAAAGATATACATTCCTCTAAAATTTTGTGCGTGAGGTTGTTGACTTGTTCGCTGAGCCGGCTTGTTTCCATTCAGACGTTTCATCACCATGCTAGGTGACATCATCAGTGAGGCCTCTGATGAAACGATGTTGTTCTACTCCACTTGGAATTTATACTGTCCAGTCCATTTTGGTGAGTAGTGTCATTTTCGGTTTTGTTCTTTATGGGTTTATAGATGAGGTCCAATTCTATATGTTTGTTGATTGCTTTATGGGTTGAGAACCATGCCTCTAGGGATTCCCGTGTGTGTCTATGTTTGGCTTTGGCTACTATAGTTACCTTGTCCCAGTTAAACCAAGGACCTTCGTTGTCCGAGTGTAGCTGGGACAAGGTAACTATAGTAGCCCAAGCCAAACCTAGACACACACGGGAATTCCTAGAGGCATGGTTCTCAACCCATAAGGCTATCAACAAACATATAGAATTGGACCTCATATACAAACCCATTCAGAACAGAACCACCATAACGGGCCAGACAGTATGAATTCCAAGTGGAGTAGAACAACATCGCTTCTTCGGAGGCCTCACTGATGATGTCAAATAGCATGGTGATGGAATGTTTGAATGAAAACCAGCCAGGTTGGTGAGCAAGTCAACAACCTCACATATGCTCCTCTATTAACTATCTTAATTTAATAATGAAATATGACCATAAATTAATTTACTGTTTGAACTAAATTAGAAATTTACAAAATATACCCTTAATATCTAATCTTGCTGATAAATTGTAATGTAAATAATTTAAATGGCTCAAAACTCGGATTGTAATGGAGATGGAAGTAAATATATATGTGTAATGGAAATAATATGGGATGCAAAGTTCAACTCAGGGTTGAATAGCATATTGAGGCTTCAAACATTTTGGACTAGATTTTCTAGCTGGAGGTTGGGACTGGGAGACAGGACTAATGCTGCATCCTGTTCTTGTCTCACACCAGGGGTTAGAATTTTTCAAGGGTCCAGGGCCTACATAATCTGGAGCAAGTCTGACCCCTCTGAAATTGAGACCTGGCCAAGGCCAGAGCAGGCCAGTCACAAGGTTCATTTCCCGTCTCAAACAATTTTAGCCCAGCTCTTCCTACGCAAACAGTGAAGTATCTTTGTACATTTGAAGTGCCATGACCACTAAACCCACCCCCTCATGACATCTATTTGCTGTCTAACACTCAGCCTCTCACCCCTCACTCATTATCTAACTTATGCTCTGATTTCACAAGCCCTATTATTACAGCTAGAAGTAGTTGAATAACTTGTAAATCTTTACAATTAAACAGATAGGTTCTCAGGACCCTTATTGTACTGGATTCCAGCAATTATAAAATGATTAGGCAGTTAGATTACAGCTAAGAGTCCATGAAACTCCTCACAAAAACAAACAGATTTCAGAACCATGATCTCACAGTTGTCTAGACTAAGTACGTAAAGAGAATGGCTTAAATAAGACATTGCCGTTATACTAAATTGCACTTTCAATATTGTAAAACATACTCCATCACTTTAGACATGTCGTGAATTTAAAAATTCATCCGAAGACTTTTTCTCATTTACAATGTTTAGCTTTAATTTGACACTTTACCAGTGGACATAAGCAACAACCAGGTTAAAATATTGTGATAGGTAGCTATATCTTCCAATTTCACACCACATATTCGACCAGAATAAGTACAAATACAGATTTGTGAATGAGTTGCAAAGGAGGCAAAACCATTAAATTTATCTTTTGAACACATCTTGCATCTAATCCATGGGAGATGCATCCATTCAGCTAGTTTACAAACTAACAGCAGCATGCCTCCCTGAAAATTGAAACAAATTTGCCAGATAGAGGCTGTCAATAAGGTTATATTCATAAGAACATAAGAACTAGGAGCAGGAGTAGGCCATCTGGCCCCTCGAACCTACCCCACCATTTAATAAGATCATGGCTGATCTTTTTAACACTCAGCTCCACTTACCCGCCCACTCACCATAACCCTTAATTCCTTTACTGTTCAAAAATTTATCTAGCCTTGCCTTAAAAACATTCAGCGAGGTAGCTTCAACCGCTTCACTGGGCAGGGAATTCCACAGATTCACAACCCTTTGGGTGAAGAAGTTCCTCCTGATCTCAGTCCTACATCTGCTTCCATTTATTTTGAGGCAATGCCCTCTAGTCCTAGTTTCATCTGCTAGTGGAAACAACCTCCCTGCCTCCACCTTATCTATTCCCTTCAGAATCTTATATGTTTCTATAAGATCTCCCCTCATTCTTCTGAATTCCAATGATCCCAGTCTACTCAGTCTCTCCTCATAATCCAACCCTCTCAACTCTGGAATCAACCAAGTGAATCTCCTCTGCACCCCCTCCAGTGCTAGTATATCTCTTCTCAAGTAGGGAGACGAAAACTGCACACAGTACTCCAGGTGTGGCCTCACCAGGACTCTATACAGCTGCAGCATAGCCTCCCTGTTTTTAAACTCCATCCCTCTAGCAATGACAGACAAAATTCCATTTGCCTTTTTAATTACCTGGTGCACCTGCAATCCTACTTTTAGCGATTCATGCACAAGGACACCCAAGTCCCTCTGCACACCAGCGTGCTGCAATTTTTTTACCATTTAAAACATAGTCCATTTTCCTGTTATTCCTACCAAAATGGATGACCTCACACTTAGCAACATTGTACTCCATCTGCCAGACCTTTGCCCACTCACTTAGACTATCTATATCCCTCTGCAGACTTTCAGTGTCTTCTGCACACTTTGCTCTACCACTCACCTTAGTGTCATCTGCAAATTTTGACACACCACACTTAGTCCCCAACTCCAAATCATCTATGTAAATTGTAAACAATTGCGGTCCCAACACTGATCCCTGAGGCATACCACTAGTCACTGACCGCCAACCAGAAAAACACCCATTTACCCCTACTCTTTGCTTTCTACTGGTCAACCAATCCTCTATCCCTGCCAATACATTACCTGTAATACCATGCAACTTTATCTTATGTAGCAGCCTTTGGTGTGGCACCTCGTCAAATGTTCCTCTCAACAACTCCCTTATTAGGAACAGACCTCTCTCAGGTCCTGCTTCCTCCACTGCTCTCGAGAAGATTGCCAATGGCAGAAACAAAGGCAAGGCCTCTTTTCTTTCCAGTCCTGACTAAGTTTGATCCCAAATGGGACCATGAAAATCCAGCTCTTTCAGTCAGCTTGAATCAGTAGCCAGGGAGAGAGATAGTTTAGGTGGCAGAAAAAGGAAGTGCCAGACATACTGGTTTCACTATTTCCAGTCTTTAGGATGAAGGAATTCTGACTCATCAATGACTGGATGCTTGTAAAACAAGCTGAGTTAGTGAAGGTCAAAATACACATGGCACCTGGTTATTGTCCTAACAGGTTTATTTGAAAACACTAGCTTTTGGAGCGTTACTCCTTTCTCAGGTATAGTGAGAAAGGTGGTATCAAGGCACAAAATTTATAATTAAATGATCAAAGGATCATACAATTGATGCGAATGTATTGAATAAACCTAAAATGTCTGGCTGACTTCCTCCTGTTAAATCTTTAATCAGTTAGAAAGGAAATGCAGGTTTCGATTGATTAAAATGTAAATCTCAGAATTTCCTTCAAGTAACTGCCCCGAGATAACTAAAGGTTTTAATAGCGTATACAAGAGGTTACATCTCAGGTCAGACAATGCATTTTAGGTGTGAGACCTTGTTTAGAATCTGTCTGTGTTTTAACCTGGAGTCAGACTGGTTTCATTTCCAAAGCAGGAATTTGTAAAATGCCCCTTTGACTGACTGTGTCTACAAATTATGTAGTTTTTGAACGAAATAGAATGTATCTGCAAAAATAGACAGCTTCTAGCAAGGCCTCACACCTAAAATGCGTTGTCTGACCTGTGATGTAACCGCTTGTAAAACATCGATAAAACCTTCAGTTATCTGGGGGCTGTTACTTGAAAGAAATTCTGGGATTTGCATTTTAATCAATCGAAAACTGCATCTCCTTTCTAACTGATTAAAGATTTAACAGGAGGGAGTCAGCAAGCCATTTTAGGTTTATTCAATACATTCGCATCAGTTGTATGATCCTTTGATCTTTTACTTATAAATTCTGTGCCTTGTTACCTCTTTTCTCACTACACCTGAGGAAGGGGCAATGCTCTGAAAGCTTATGTTTTCAAATAAACCCTGTTGGACTATAGCCTGGTGTTGTATGATTTTTGACCTTGTTCAACCCAGTCCGACACCTGCACCTCCACATCATGAGTTAGTGAAGAGGATGACAAAATGTTAAGGAGTATGGAGAGGACCAGGAGAAGTGGATGTGTCATAAATGCACATGTGAAGGAAGGTCCTATGAGTGCAGATAAACTCCTGAGAAATAGCTATGAAGATGTGGAAGAGTACGGGGCCAAGATAAAATGCTTAGAAGAGTCATGAGATGGAATAGGGAAACCTAATATAAGTTTACTGTATTTATTTTATGTGTATTTTAGATAAAGTGGAATGTCTTCATTTTTTCAAAAATGTCATTTGATAAGAAAATGTTACATCATAGCATTATTATGGGAATAACTAATTATAAGGAATGTTTAAAATTATTTTTCCATTTTAATAGGGTCCTGTTGGTGGAAGGGGACAGATGGGTGCACAGGTAAGATTTACTTTGTTCCAATCATGGTCTTTTCAAAGTTTTTATAAAGCATTAAATGGCACGTAAAAGCTTGCAGTGTAGACGGCAAAAGTGAAAGAAATTGTTCTCGGCTGGCATCTCGGGATTAGCAAAGTTTGAAGTGCATTAATATTTTATTTGTGTGGAAAGCGTTTGTGCCACATAAACCCAAACAGCAATATTGATAAACAAATTGAGGTTCACTATGGCAATGCCCTTGCTACCCTCAGTGTTTCCTGTAGATGCTTTTCAACATGAAGGAGTACTGATTCATTAGTTGAGGGGGGTAGCAGTCAGCAGGAGATTTCCACATTTGACTCAATCCAAAGCTACCTGATTGAGTTCAGAGTCAAAGTTGAGGACTCGAAAGGCCATTCCCTCTTGACTGTACTACTGTGCTGCCATCTCTGATGGATCTCTCCTATTGCTGGGATAGGTTATACCCGGGGATAAATATTGGAGGTGTCAAGTTATAAGGTTTATTTTGGTGAATGATTGTGTAGGATTTTGCTTCATTAGTCTCTGGAACAACTCTTTCAGGTGTTAGTAAACAGGACTTTGCAGGGTCGACAGGGCAATGTGTACGTTTTGGTGTCGATGTCAGGCTGGGGGGGGTTCATTCAGTTTTATTCTTAATTCATTTTTCTGTAGTGGTCAGTACAACTGAGTGGCTTGTCTGTTATCTGAGACTGCAGTTAAAAGTCAATCACCTTGGAGCTTGGAGTGACATGTAGGATGAGATGAATTAGGACAGAAGATTTTGTTCTCTAAAACGAGCAGCACGTTAGGTTTTCTAATTAATTGAACTTTAATTAAAAGCTGTCCTGCTGACATTTGAACTTGTATCTCTAGAGCATTCATAGAGATAGCTAGTTGTCTAATCTAAGAACATTACCATTACGCGATTAGTCCTTTTAGCACCCACTCCATCTTTAGCAATGTTCAGGAATAGGAAGTGGTGTTCACTGAGTGTGAAAAGGGTGACTGAAAGAAAATAGTGGCTCCACAGTGTCACTGTTGCAACTGCAATATATTAGAGCTGATTTTAGCCAGAATTGAAGAAGTGAGGTTTCCTGAAACGGAAGTGCAGAAGATCGCGGTTTGAGGCATTATGAAATTACATTAGTAATACAACAAATTGGGTTCTTACATGAGAAACAAAATAGAAACATTAATGCTAATTGCTGGTGAAGACTGAGGTAGATGAGAGGGAGGAATGTACATTGGCAAATCAGCAACGGCATATAGATTTATTGATTATACACCAATTTCTCTTATTTATTCTCTTAGTTAAAATGGTAATTGGTCGTGAAACCATTAAATAACACTTATCCTTGCATGTAGGGGCCTAAAGGAAGAGATGGTGCTCCAGGCCCTCCAGGAGATCCAGGAGTGCGAGGCATACAGGTTGTTAATACCTGGATTTGATGAGTATAACAGCATTGTGAATGCTCAATGTTTGTCTGTTTCTCAGCTACTGTTTCATTAACATTTCAATGAGTTCCTGAACTGAATTTATTTTGAGGTGAAAATAATACAAAGGTTTGTGAAGCATTTAAACGTTTTCTAATGTTTAAGATGTTACTTTTTTCCCTATGGATATATATGGGAGAATTTTCAGAATCACAGTAGCCTAGATAAAAGGCAGACTTTAAGTGGAGACAACAAGGTGCAGGGCTGGATGAACACAGCAGGCCAAGCAGCATCATAGGAGCAGAGAGGCTGACGTTTCGGGCCTAGACCCTTACTACTATCTCAGACTTTAAGTGGACATGCCCCATGTTTGAATTAGTGTGATAATATATTATGAGTGGAATTTTGACAGCTTCTGAATGATGGGGGCTATGGTAAGAATTGTGGGAAAATTGAGTGAGATGTTGAACAATGACCAGCTGGACTTTGACCCAAAAAATCCAAAATTCCAACTAATTGTCAAAAGGTAAGTCAGGATTGGGTGAGTGGGGTGACGCCTATTTAGATGGATTGTTATTCATGAGCAGCTTCATTGTTATCCAATCTCGTCTCATTACTATGCAGTTTCCCATTCATCCTTCCAATGGACAGAAGTGAGACACCAAAAATTCCCCGTATGAAACCCAGAGCTGTTGTCGCTTGCTGTTGGAAGCCCACAGCTAGGACCTTAGGGCACACACCTTGGGCAGCAGCAGGATGCACCTAATGACCGTGGACAATGGATCCAACATGTACCAGCCTCACTGCATCATCATGGCACAATGCACAGTCTGCTCCCAGAATACTGCATTTTGGAATGCATTGGCATCTTTCATTGCACTGCTGCTTTGAGAACGTGGCGCAAGGAGGGACAGGCATCTGATTCCATGGATTCAGCCGGTGTTCTTCTCAGGGTTCCTCGCTTGCTCTCTTAGCATTCTCTCACTTTGTGCCTGTGTCGATGCTCACCGGGCTGTCCATCGAAGACATTCAAGAGGGTGGCATGGTGGCTCAGTGGTTAGCACTGGATCTGGGTTCGATTCCAGCCTTGGGCGACTGTCTGTATGGAGTTTGTACATTCTCCACCTGTCTGTGTGGGTTTCCTCTGCATGCTCCGGTTTCCTCCCACAGTCCAAAGACATGCAGGTTAGGTGGATTGGCCATGCTACATTGCCTATAGTGTCTAGGGTGAGAAATGCAAAGATAGGGTAGGTGGGTCTGAGGGTAGGTGTGGACTCGATGGTCTGAATGGCCAGCTTCCACACTGTAGGGATTTGATGATTCTGTGAGAGTGGACACTGGTCAGTCCTGGGCATCTATCAACTACAAGTCAAGGGGTTTAGTTATCCGGGCCAGCGGTGCAGGAAGGAAGCTGGGGATCTTAATTGTGGAAATTTGACGCAGTGTGCTAGAATGCAGAGAGAATTGCAAATTGCAAATGTATAAGGAGGGCAGGTGATGATAGAGCATTGAAGGGAAAGTGGTTGTGTGGGAATGGCTGGATAATTGACAGTTAGCAGCGCCTTAGCTTCCACGGTCGGGGGGAAGCAGTGCATTCCTAGATTGGACATGTTTACCCCGTTGAGTGGGGAGAAGGGAAGTTGTTGGGGAGGGCTAGTAAGAAGGGTCAGTGTAAATTTGGGGGCTCGCCAATAGCAAGAGGCTCAGCCTAAGACCCACTGTGTGAGGAATGACTGCTGTTTCATTCCATTGTTCTGTATATAAGAAGGGCATGACAGAGCTGAAAATGGCTACCACCACACACACACTGGGCGAGATAAGTAGTTCATTTGGTGAGGGAGGAAAATTCAGCTGTGTACGATGTGAGGCCCTTCAAAGGGCAACAGTACTACACAGATACCCTTACACCAATGTGGAAAGGTACCTGTAAGTGCTACATTCCAGGTGAACCTTTGGTATTAACCTCCAGTTCAAATGCTTGCCTCCACTCACACGACCACTTCATACAACATTATGAATATCACCCTCTAATAACTGTGATGTACAACCAGTGTTAGCAGCCTGGAAGATTGAACCCAGTTTGCAATGTAACAATTACATTCCAATAGCAAATGTTCTTGCACAAAGTGTAGAAGCTGCTCACTTCACACCTTAGATCATAAAACATTGTGCAGCCCTAAAGATGGCTAGTTTCTGTACCTTCAGGGTTCTAGTTGCAGCAGGACAGGCATTCATTCACACAACTGAACGCAAATTTACTCAGGCAATAACATAACAACAGAGAATTGTCATTTGTCTAACCCACATGCCCTTGCAAAGTTTTCTTCTTTCTTTCCCTCTGACTACATCTCAGTTCAGTTCTAGGTTTTGCTATTGCGTTGGAGGGAGCCTGCCTCACAGGGGAGCTTGTGGCTTTGGAGTTTTTGTTGTTTGACCCTGAGAGCATTTGTGGCTGGAGGGCCCTAACGTGCTCTGTGTGTCCTTCCCAGAGGCTGGTGCAGGCTCCTCAGATTGACTTCCCACTGGCTGAAGGCGACAGGCAACATGGGGATGGAAGGCCGTGGAGACTTCTGCGTGGCCTATGGGTAGTTCTTCCTCTGGCTGGGTACCTACTGGCACCACCCTGTCTCCTTCAGAGATAGGGGTACCCTGAGTGAGGTCAAGGTCCCTCAACCATTCTCCTCCTGCTGCTGGTGCACTAATGGCTAGAACAATGGAGCGTAGATCTGTGCATTTGCGGCAGACACTGTGCTGGAACAGCTTGGCTAGCGGTGGACCAAGCTCTACAGCACAGGTCTTCATTGCTATTATCAAAATAATGTCAGGGCCCACATTCTTTGCAATCCTCTGTGCCTTCAGCGGTTTTCTAAAATCCCATGGGTTAAATCGAATTGGCTGAAGACTGTGATATTGGGGACATCTAGAAACTTACAATCAATTCCACAGCAGAAACCCACACCCATAACTACCGAGGCTCATGCCCATGACAGGTGTTAAGCCTTTTGCATGAGGAAAAACTAAATAAAATGCTGGAAAAATCTATCTGTGCATAAGCACGTCCTTAAGGCATTGCTGGAGACTGCCAAGTACTGGAGAGGAGGGTTTCAACTGACATCTGCTGTTCTCTGCTTTCCACAACCTTTCCCCTGTTGTCAAACATGGTTCACCTCCCTGGCCACTTTTCCCTGACTTTTGATATTGATCAGGTTAACATTGGAGGCAACCAATCTTCTCTTCTTCCAGAACTGAGGGACTGCAGTCGGGTTGTCATTTGGTGCTCGGAGCTGGTTGGCGGAATGTAAATATTACTGCGTGCCACTTACAGTCCTTTACCTACACAGTAAACCAGCTCTAACTCTATCCCTGCAACTCCCATGTGCGGTGATGGTGATGATAGTGCTGGTGGTGACAGTGCTGGATTGACTTCAATAAAACTCTGGAATTAAGAGTCTAATAATGACCGTGATTTCCATTGTTGGAAGAAAAACCCTTCTGGCTCACTCATGTCCTTATCTGGTCTGACCTACAAGTGACTTCAGACCCACAGCGATATGGTTGACTCTTAACTTGCCCAGAGGGCAATTAGGGATGGGCAATAAATGCTGGCCTAGCCAGCAACGCCCACATCCGTGAATGAAGAAAAAAACATTTCTGTCGAATTTTCTCTCTCACCCTTAGCTTGGTTTGTCCATGTTTTCTTGTTTTAGAACATTTATGCTTTTCAGCTTGTAACAGATTTGAGATGAGATAATTTTGTTGTCTTTGAAAGGCAGCTTCTACTTTTTAAAAAAAAAGGTTTGTGGAGTTTAGTGTGACAAAAGCCGCATGGGTAACTGGTGATGAAGAGTCTGTGGTAGCCAAGATGGGATATTGAGCTGCAAAGCCTTGGACCCCACCTAAAGAGAATGAGTGTTGTGCAGTAATATTTTGTTGGAGACCTGAAAGCTAGCGTAGAGAGAAAGGAAGTGGATGGTCATATTTGCCTCCTTGGTCTGAAGAGAGAGATCAGGCCATACCAGCAGAATGGCACAAGCTGCTGGAGGAGAGAGGGATTTGAGGATTGGAGGATGAGGAGGCTGCAGATTGGTGCCGGTTTGCTGCACACTCCATATCCTGGTACTTACTTGAGAGACTAGCTGTTACACCAAGCAACTGTGCCAAAGAGTCACGCTGAGGAGTCACAGTAAAAGGATGATAATGATGATGGACAGGATCAAGGAAAGCACCAGATAACTGCAGGCCTTTGAAGGATCACTCTCGACCTACTGATTGAAGACTGCTTTTGAAAGATGTCCTACAACCTTGGACATTAGAGTAACATACCATGTGCCTTACCTTTCACAGTTGAGGATCCATCAGTCGTATCCCAAGGTGAAAGTCCTGTCTGTTGAGAACTGCCACCCAATCAGTCTGGAAGCCTTTCTATGCTCAACACTGCCACCCAGCCAGTCAGAGACTACTGCTGGTACTGCACCCACCTAAGGCATTGAATCAAGGAGGGATCCAGGCATCAGTGAGTGATGGCATGAAGCAGGTCAAAGGACAAGGTCACGGAGAAGGAGCCAAGAGTTTCACACTAAGATCACTGGAGATGGCTTTCAGAGGCTCCACCCCATTCGTGGTGCTGTGATCCCTTAACAGGGACTGAATACTCTTGATTGAAGCCCCAATGCCCCCTCCATTTCCCCTGCCCCCTTCCTTTCAACTCCTGAGGCCCCATAAGCAAATATTACTTTTTGTGCATCCTGCATAACCCTCCATGTCTCCTGTCTGCAACTGAGTTTATATCAGGGAGGTAACCAAGGACAGTGAGAACACAAGTGATGAAGTGGAGGTGGAAGTATACAGTTGTGGTGACAGAGTGGATAGTAATTTGTTTAAACAATGACTTTGAGAAGATTTATTCTTAGATTAAAATGTCAGAAGTCACACATTGCTTCTTCGTCAGGTGAAGCACTCAGAAAGCTTGTGTTTTCAAATAAACCTGTTGGACTATAACCTGGTGTCGTGTGACTTCTGACCTTGTCCACCCCAGTCCAACACCATCACCTCCACATCATAGGTTAAAATGGAACTTGTTTAAAGAAGCGAGGAACAAATATGGCTGATGGGCTATCTTTACAATCTGGAAACAAGAATGAGCATTCACTAACTTAAATGATATGAGGTGTCATTTAAGAAATGCTTGTTACATAAAACAGCTAAGTAACTCCATAAATGTGCCAAGTTTGCAATGATCAACCTGACTAAACTTGCTTTTGTTTCATTTAAAACAGTTCAGTTCATACATGTCCCCGAAGAAAACAGTGTTCTGAATGTATTTGTTTTTCCTTGTACTTAATAATTGAAGTGTAAATGAAAGAGGTTTTTACTATGCCTTAACAGGGAGATAAAATTGACTACTGGGTCAAAAACCCCTGTGGCAAAATGTTACTCTGTGGTTTGTAAAAACCCATGTTTAATGATTACTATTAGGAAACAGCACACTAATATTTGTTCTACACTGAGACACAACCAGCACTAATAGGATGCAAGCATTGTTGGCAATGCCAGCATTTACTACCCTTGATAAAGAGGTGGTGACCTGCCTTCTTGAACTTCTGCACTCGTGTGGTGTGGATTCATCCTAGAGGGATTTGCAAGTCTTTGACCAGTGACTGTGAAGGAAAACTGCAGTTGATGGTATTTCCATGCGTCTGCTAGCCTGGTCTTTCTAGAGTTCATGAGTTATAGCGATTTGCCGTAAATGGATATTGTGGAAGATAACACAATAGCCATTATGAGTTAATGTTTATAGAAGAGTACGGGTGCTCAAAGATTCCTAACAGTGCAGAAAGAGGCCATTGGGACTGTGCTGACCCACCCCTCCACCTCATTAATATAATCTCAAGGACGGTTTTTAACCATGGCTAAACCACCTAACCTGCACACTATGGGCAGTTTTTAGCCTGGCCAATCCACCTAATCTGCACATCTTTGGACTGTGGGAGGAAACCAGAGCACCCAGAGGAAACTCACGCAGGCATGGTGAGAACATGCAAACTCCACACAAACAAAGCTGGAACTGAACCTAGGTCCTTGGCACTGTGCGGCAGCAGTGCTAACCACTGAGCTACTGTGCCACCCATGCTCTTTATTTAGTTTATACTAAAGAAATATTATTGCATTATTTAGCTCAATTCGTGGGCAACAAACTTTCATTTATAAATCTAAAAATACTTGCAGTTTATAGCTGTGCATACATCATCAATATAATGTTGGCGTACAATATAGGACCAAATTGGTTACAGTGTCTCTTTAATTCAAAGTAAAGCAACAATAGTATAGAGGATCTATGAAATAATCTGTGGGACAACTGGATCATTGCTGACTTAAACCCACGTACCAGAGTTTACAAACAATTATTGAGAAGTATTTTCTTGTTGTAGGGGACACCAGGATCTCCTGGTACTCTGGGTCGAAAAGGAGAAGTGGGAACTCGAGGTCGGCAGGTTTGTATTGGAAGTGAATCTTCGTATGTCTGTGAGAAAGACAGTTTTTGGTCAGTTTTATGAAAAATATTCTGTTTAGCCGTTGTAAAGGAGATTACAGGATAATGTAGAGACTACAAACAGATACAAATAGCTGTTTACAATTAGAGCATGTCACAGCAGCTGCATGCCTCAGGGCACAGTACTGTTCAACCCGGTTGCTGAATCATACTGATTTAAATGAGTGGAAATTATTAAAAGTTCAGTCCAGGATTTCCATGCAAAGCAAACTTTGGCAAGCAAAAGTGCTGCAATCCAATTGAAGGCATGAGTTTAGGTGCAATAGATGAGGGCTATATATTGACGTTGAGGTAATGATTCAGGAGACATGAAAGTGGAGGAGCCCAGAATAGAGTCAAAACCTAAGCATCAGTTTGGGACTGTTGTGGGAGAGTGGTAGTGTCCCTACCTCTGAGCCTGAAAGTCATAATTTGTCAAGTCTTAACCTGCTCCAGCGGTGTGTCATTACATATCTGAACAGGTTGATTAAATGTATCTAGGTTGTTGAGTACTCACTTAGACCTGGAAAACAGAGCTGATGTGAAGTGCTTTGGCCTGGTCTGAGTGATACTCAATATTGATCAAGAAGCAGGCATTTCAGACAGTTCCTGAAAGTGGAGCAGCTTAGCAGCCAATGAAAATATCATTTTAGATGGGAGTTGGCTCATCAGTTATGGTAAGTTTTACTGTCCTAATGGACAGAAAGCAAGGTCAGGCAGATCATGAATCTGATGCATGACTATCCACGTGGGAATTCACACAGTCTTGTGTGGAGATCTGCAATGAGTACACTAATGTAAAGTTTGGCTCTGTTTCGTTGAAGAATGCTTCTCCAGACAACAGTGTCGCTTAGGTTTTTTTGTTGAATCTCTTACCCACGGCAACAATGGCATCTCGTGGCCAAACATGGTACTGATTGAGCTATCGTTCTGAGCCTGAGATCTTAATTAATATCCTTTGGTCAGAACTGCAAGTTAGTAACCTACAAAATCTTTAAACAGAATTCACTCTAATATTAAATATAATCCAAACAGTTCAGTTTAAAAACTTCATCTTTAAGACTATTTCTCTTTGTTAATGAAGCTCCGAATGAATGCATTGTTTTAACTTATCTCTTGCAACTTCATTTTTTCTTCCTTCTGTCCAAGTCAGCAAGGATCATTACTTCCTTATTTGGGCACACCATCCAACTGAGCATTAACAGTTGACATCAGCAGGGTGCATGATAGTCAGAAATATCATAGTTGTGTCCCCGTCTAACCTGCATTTGTACCTTCCAGCATTCCATTGTGGAATGGTGGGCACAAACAGCATGCTTTTCCCATTCCAACCCAAATACATTAAATCCAATGATAGCCCCCCTGCTGTAACCCTGACTGGGAGTAACTAACTCAGCACAGATAAAGAGATAATTGAGACCTTCCCAATATTTGTCAATACATAACTGTCCTGAAGCAGGGAGAAAGTTGATAAGCCACATATTTATTAAGCTAAAGGCAAAATACATTTTAAATAAAACGCAAATTACAGACACAAGAGTCGCAAGGGTAGAAGCTCAACAGCAGTTTGCATGTCTTTAGCCTAAATATGGTTATGATGTCTTTAGCCTAAATATGGTTGTGATAGACATCTGTGTACTGGGATGACCTATGTTGAATAATTTGTCATGTATAGAACTGTCCAATTCTGACAATTGATAGAAATTATTGTATCAGGTTGAAGTGTGCATTAATATGTATCATTTTTTAGTGTATATATTACACTATTTGGACCTCTATTGATCACATCCCATTTTATATGAATACAATACATTATTGTTGGTGGGTGCATAAATATCTCTGCAGTTCAGTGCCAAATACACCATACATTATGGTGGAATCAAAGTTTAATAAAAATTGACTTGTCTGATCTGATGCTGCTGAAACTTATATCGTGGAGAAATGAGGTTTCATTACACTAAAGACAGTAGTGATCATCACTGTCATTGGTAGTGAAATATAGGTAGGTGATTGACTTTGGGTTGATGCTTGAAAAGAAGTGAAAATAGTGCTGGCTGGTTGTGTGCATGTGCCAGTGTAGCACCAGAACAAAAAGACATTAGTTTTAATTGCTGGTCAGTGCTGAGCTGATCTTAGGAGTGCTATGCTTTATCCCAAATGCTAGAAGGGGACGACTGAGTCGAAATTTCAGCTGATCCTGTTACTGACCATTCTCCAGTAATAGAGTGGAAATTCTGTGTTGGCGACTGATTATGTTTACATTCTCAGCAACGTTAAATCCCAAGCCTACAAACCTTGCCCAGGTGTACCTTCTGAGATTACAGTGCCACCTTTACCTACTCCAGAGTTTACTGTAAGAGACAAATTCAAAACCTCTAATGAGAAGTAGGGCTGTCTGATCATGTGTCATGCTTTAAAATGAATGATAATATTAGCAGTTAATTGCTTCATCTTATGTGGGAAATCCCATCCAATTTTAAACAAACACACATACAATGCACATTGATAAATTAACTTCAAGAATCCCAATTCTTACATTAGATTTCTAATACCTAAATTAGATTTCTTTAGTGATTATGAAACAAGCAGCCACTTTAATCAATACTTCTGTGTTATTTATATGACAGGGTCCGACCGGAGAGCCAGGCCCTCTGGGAATAGATGGTGACATTGGTCATAAAGGGAAACATGTAAGTTTCATGATTTACCATTAATTTGATATAGACGACATGTTCACCTCTGAAATGGACCAAGTGGAGTTTGCCTTTGTTGAGGGTCAGGAGAACAAATTATGAAGGAGAGGGAAAGGTGGGACCAAAAAAGAAGTAGTGTGTAACAGGATTAATCTTAAAAGAATTTCATTTGTGCAGTGCCTTTCATGGCTGGATACTTCAAAGTGCTGTCAGTCAATGAAATAGTTTGATGTGCAGTCACTATTATAATATGGAAATGCATTTATTTTATTGGCACACAATACAATATACAATATTCTTTTATTGTCACAATATTCTTTTTATTTATTCATACACGAGGTAGGTACAATCACAGCCAGAATAGAAATTTACCTGCCAAGAAAACCTATGTTTCACTATAAGCATGGGGCTAAGATCCCCAAAAATGACATCTGGTCAAAAGCCTCCAGCATTTTTTTTCCCGTACAGGTTTGTAAGTGAGTTGTACATCTCTCATCCAGAAATTTGTTACAATATGCAGCACAACTACATTAACTTTGAATATAGTCCTCCATTCTAGCTTCCAAGCGGGATCAAAGATTTCCCAAACTCTTTACATCCTGCCAGGGTCACTGAGGCGAGAGGACAATGGGAAGTGATGCTTCAGTGAAACTGATGGGCTGGGAAGCTTTGAAACAGTGAAACTGAATAGACCTCCAGACAGGTCCAGTGGGGAGGCTGGTGCTCATAATTCCTCTTCTGAGAGTATGCTTTCACCACTTGATAAGTGATTTCCAAGTTTTGAGAAGTCAGTTTTCCTGTTTTGTGCTTCACTCACCTTGAGCTGCATGCCTGTGCTGTCAGTTTCCACTGGTATGTGGGAGCAGCTTATGTCAGCTCTATCTTTGACCTCGCTTGAGGAGAAACACCAACGTAGGTTGCAACAGGAGCAACATCGTCATTAGCAGATGCCATCTCCTCAGACATAAGTTGTTCCATGGGCAGGAGAGGATGGACACGAGAGATCCAAAGAAGGTGAGACCCCACACTCCTCATGTGTGGGCACACAAGCTCGAGGCCCAGGCTTTCATAGAGGCATATTGCTGACATCAATAATCACCCATCAATGAGACCATCTTCCCAATGGACAAGGTAGTCACTGCCTCTTCTAGTGCACTGTCTTGTACAAAGGGAAAGCTGTTACTATGAGAAATGGATGATTTGGAGAGAAGGGAAGGGCAACATTTGTGGCATGGATGTGAGAGAGCAGTGGGAGCGGGGTAATGTTAACTATTCAGATGAGGGCGTACAGAGGCACCTGGAGAGTGGGGAATGAGTGAACCTGCAAGATATATTCATTTGAGAAATGATGCATAGCTAAATGGTGGGGAAATCATGGGCAGTGACACCTAAAGATGTCATGCCACTCATTTTTCTCACCCTTCTGAAGCCCTTGAATCTCTTCATGCACTTTCTCCATGTTGGAGACTCCACTCGCCTGTTGCTCACTTCCTTGCCCATCTTCACTAAAGCCTGCTCCGTTTGACAGGCTGGTCTCTTTCCCCTGTCCTTGGCAAACATCACCTCACTTTGGTTCTTTAGATCCCACAACAAGGTCTCCAGGTAGAAGAATCAGAGGTCTTCCTCAGTCCACTCTCCATTCTTGTAGTTGCTAGAGTACACAGGAATTGGTGGACAGTTTAACCATCCTGACTGCTGCTGGGATCCCTTTCACAAGAAATCTTTCCTTAGACAGATGTGAAATGTCATCCTGCCTATGCTGTCTCAGATTGGCCAGGAAACCTGTAAGTACAATGTTGATACTTTAGCTGATTAAAGAATGCAAAAGCTCTCTTCAATTACAGACGAGTGTTTGACCCATTACACACTTCCCTGCTGCATGCAAGTCTGTTATGTCAAGATTCTGCTTGGTACCTGCAGTCTGTAGGGCAGAACGTTCAATAGTCCTGTCAGGATAAAATATGCCACCAGTTATATTGGTCGAATAGAATGAAACATTGAAGCACTATTACTTCAGTAGGATTTCTAAGGCCAGAAATTTGACATCATCCCCTTTGAAAAAACAAGAATTGTGCATGAAGTAGATTAAAAAAGGGAATTTTTAAAATTCATCTGTGGGATATGGGCATTTATTGCCCGTCCCTTGTTGCCCCTTGAGAAGGTGATGGGGAGCTGCCTTCTTGAACCACTGCAGTCCACCTGCTGTAGGTTGACCCACAATGCAATAAGGAGGGAATTTCAGGATTTTGACCCAGCGACAGTGAAGGAACGGCGATATATTTCCAAGTCAGGAGGGTGAGTAGCTTGGAGAGGAACTTGGAGGTGGTGGTGTTCCCATATATCTGCTGCCGTTGTCCTTTTAGTAGGAAACAGTCGTGGTTTGGATGGTGCTGTTTGAGGACCTTTAGGGAATTTCTGCAGTGCTTCTTGTAGATAGTACACACAGCTGCTACTGGTGAAGGGAGTGGATGCTCGTGGATGTAGTGCCAATCAAATGGGCTGCTTTATCTTGGATGGTGTCAAGCTTCTTGAGTGTTGTTGGGGCTACGCTCATCCAAGCAAGTGAGGAGTATTCCATCACATTCCTGACTTGTGCCTTGTAGATGGTGGATAGGCTTTGAGGAGTCAGGAGGTGAGTTACTGGCTGCAGTATTCCTAGCTTCTGACCTGCTCTTGTAGCCACTGTTTATGTGGTGAGTCAGTTGAGTTTCTGATTCATGCAAGTAGTCCTGTTTGGTGGCTTCAGCGGGTAATACCTCATCTTCAGGTATGCCTGGTGCTGCTCCTGGCATGACCTCCTGCACTCTCCGTTGAACCAGGGTTGATCCCCTGTCTTGATGGTAATGGTTGAGTGGGGGATATGCCGGGCCATGAAGTGACAGATTGTGCTAGCATACAGTTCTGCTGCTGTTGATGGCCCACAGTGCCTCAAGGATGCCCAGTCTTGAGCTGATAGATCTGTGTGAAGCCTGTCCCAATTAGCACGGTGATAGTTCCACACAGCATGATGGAGGTTATTCTCAGTGTGAAGGCTGGACTTGGTCTCCACAAGGACTGTGCGGTGGTCACTCTTACCGATACTGTCATGGACAGATACATCTGCACCTGGCGGATTGGGAAGAATGAGGTCAAGTATGTTTTACCGTTTTGCTGGTTCTCTCACCACCTGTCACAGACCCAGTCTAGCAGCAGTGTCCTTTAGGATCTGACCTGCTCAATCAGTAGTATTGTTGCTGAGCCACTCATGGTGGTGGACATTGAAATCCCCACTGAACTGAATGGATGGTTAGGCCATTTCAGAGGGCAATTGAGAGTCAACCACATTGCTGTGGGTCTGGAGTCACATGTAGGCCAGACCAGGTGAGGATGGCATATTTCCTTCCCTATTGTATGAGATAGTTTCAGATAGGGACTAAAAAGATGAAAATTTAGATTTTTAGTAATATTCAGCAGCCTTGAAACTGCATTTGTTGAAATCGTCAGCAGTTACAAAATTGGCCCGAGTAATAAAGTTCCTTGTTCAAGTCTGATTTAGAATGATAGATATAATTAGATCTGAAAGTACAGGAAGTTTAAACAGAATTGGAAATGTTAGGCATGAAGTCTTGCATGCATTCAAAATAACATCAGTTACTTCAGTAGCTTACAATGTCATTGTTCAGATCAGATCATGAAATAGGAATGACAAAAGGCTTTGGCCTAAACTTTCTGGTCAGTGTCAGACCCCTCTTTCTGACACTGAACAGGGAAGCAAACAGCCACTGACCTTCCTCTGATTCTCATGGCCGACTTTCCAATGTAGGATACATCAGAAATCTTTCAGCACAGGAACATTGAGAGGGAGGAGCACAGAGGATCAGAGCAGAAGTCATGCTTGTTTTTTATGGCTATTGTATTCTGTTAAGTAACAGTTTAAATGACCCAGGATTTCATGTATTAATAGGAGTATGAGTGATTGGGTGAAGGTGTAGATGTTTAAGTGGATTGGATGGATGAGAAAGGGTTAGAGGTTGGGTGGCAGGGTGGTATGTTATTAGTGTGGCATTTGGATATGTGAGGAGGCTTGGCAGGTGAGTAGGGTGATAGGTGTTTAAGACTGTGAGGTTAGGGGAGTTGGGTTGGGGAAATTGGATGGTTATGGCCATGGTTGAGAGTTGTGGTGTTGGTTGGGGTGTCAAGGCAGGGTGGATATGAATGTCAGGAGGATTTAGGAGGTTGTGGATGTTGCAGTGTCAGGAGTAGGGGGAGCTGAGATGTGGAAAGAGATGAGGTTATTAGGAAAGATTTCTATGGTGATGATAGAATAGGTTGCTGGGTGTTGGAGGGGCTGGGAGAGTTGATGGGAAGTGTGATATTATTTACTTTTGAGTTTGGACTTTTGATATTTTAAGCTATTGGCGTAAGAATTTTCTGTTTGTCTGGAGGGATTTAATGATTAACTTGTAAGTATTTCTGTACCAGTGATGACTTTCTATAAAACACAATGTGAGAGAAAGACTTCCTTGAGAATAATGGTTTTTTGTTTACATTGGGAGAAATTTACAATTGAAAAAACAACAGCTGTGCGTTTAGCTTCAGTTTGAAAGGTCAGGGATGGTTTATTTCTTTCTTTTGACGAGAGGAAACGTGACTTGCTTAGAAAGGTCTTTTTGTGTTTCAATTAAGCAATTCTGCCGAAGTCTTGCTGAAGCTGGATATGTAATGCAGTTGTTCATGAGAAAAAAAGTTCATTCCAACTGTTAGGAATTAAATTATCTCCATGTAATGAGTTTCGTAAAAGTTCCAAACTTAGGCAATTCTGCAGAGGTCTCGCTGAAGCTAGATATGTAAAGCAGTTGCTCCTGAGGAAAAAAGTTCATTCAAACTGTTATGAATTAGATTACCTCCATGTAATAAGTTTTGTAAAAGTTCCAAACCAGAAGTGTTTGGGTAAAACCCTAAAGGGTTACTTGAAGTTGAGAAAATCTAAGCTCAGTTGTATGAAGGCTCCAGGAAGAGGCTATCAGACTTATAATACTCGGAGCTGAAGCCACAGATAAATAAAACTTATAGAGGTGAAGAGAAGGGAATTCTCTCTGTTGTGAGTACTATAATACAGTGCTTTTTGGATTAACGGGATTTTACATTTTTACCTAAGTGTTTTGAAATCTTTAAACATGTGTTATATGTAAATAAATGGTTTATTCAATTTTATCTTCACTTCATTTGCATCAATAAACTTGTTTTATTGCTAAAACCAAATCTCTGCATTGCATGCTTATGTTTCAGTGAGAGACCACCTCATTATAAAACAAAAAGACAAAAAGAAACAAAAGTTTTTGAGAAGAATTGTAGCTCAGGTTGTGATTGAGGTTGTAGACTTGCTCGCCAAGCCAATATGTTTGGTTGCTGGTGTTTCATCACGCTGCTAGGTAACATCGTCAGTGCGCCTCCGGTGAAGCGTTGGTGTTCTGTCCCACTTGTTATTTATATGTCTCAGTTTGCTGGAGTGATAGGCATTACTTCTGGTTCTGTTTTTCAGTGGTTTGTACATTGGATCCAGTTCAATGTGTTGTGATGTTATATATTTAAAATATATATACAAAATATCATGCAAGAAATGTGAAAAACATTACATAGACCAAACTGGAAGAAAACCGATAATAATGATACATGAACACCAACCAGCCACCAAGAGACACAACCAGTTCTCACTGGTCTCAATACACACGGACAAAGAAGGACACAAATTTGACTGGGACAACACATCCATAATAGCACAAGCCAAACAGAGATATGCCAGGGCATTCCAACTGGAACTCTATCAGCAAACACATTGAACTGGACCTGATATGAAAACCACTGATAAACAGAACCAGAAGTAGTGACAACCACCCCAGCAAACCGAGGCATATAAATAACAAGCGGGACAGAACACCAACGCTTCACCGGAGGTGCACTGACAATATTACCTAGCAGGGTGATGAAACGTCTGCAACCAAACCCACCAGCTCAGTGAGCAAGTCTACAACCTCAAAAAGAAACAAAATATAAGCTGTGAAGCTGGATTTCAATCTGGGATTTGATTTGTCTGGTAATAACATCAGCTAGGACCTTAACAAATGGTAGTATCAAGGAGGCTAGGAGAGAGAGGGACAGTTGGCAGTTAGGATGGGTCAGTTGTATAGATACCCAGAAGTTAGATATGGCCTTATTTTGTCTAGATTTCCTATGTAACTATCCAGGTTAGTGAGTTAGGTTTGTCCTAAGTCTCTGACTCTAACTCAGAATCTGAGACATTTAATGCACAGGGTCCCAGGGAGCAAAGAAGTGGCCCGTCAGATGTTTAACCTTTTGCGATAATTTCTATGAAGTCAGTGAGTCAGAATCTTTGGGGATATATCCCATTTCCAACTTTGCAGAGTCCGGAAGATCTGATCCACTTGTTTATTCCATTCACAGGATGAAGGCCAGCACTTGTTGCCCATTCCTAACTGTCCTTAGAAGGTAGCACTGTGTTGCTTTTCTTGAACCACTGCAGTCACTGTAGGAACATCCACAATGCTACCAGGGCATATCTTTTAATCATTTGGGGCTTTACAGCACCACATGGTAGTTGATTGTAGCTTTTACAGTTTGTAGCTCGTGAAGAAATTCAGTTTCTGTATATGTGAGGAATTGTTGCTAATTTAGGATAAGATTTTATGAGCTGCCTCCTTCAGATTGAGTTTGTTGCATCAGGGACTTTATAATAGTGGTGGGGGGGAATAGGAAAAATCACAGTAGTTGTTAATAACTCTACAACACTCTAGAGCTGATTAACTATGTATTTCATGTATAAGCGTTGTTCTGAAAGTGTCAAATAGTAACATATACCTACCCCCATCATATCTGGAATATAATTGTATTATCAACCAAATACTAACCAGTTTCTTGGGATATTTAACAGGGTCAACCTGGAAATCCTGGGGAGAAAGGCATAGAAGGAGTAGATGGACCTCGTGGCATTATGGTGAACTTTGTTTCCTTTCAATTTATTCTTCTTTCTAACACGTTTTCTGTGCAAATAAACAATGAATGACAAATGATCTGAAAGAGAAAGAAAGTTGAAGGTCCATTTCCTGGTCATGTTGAAGTATCTCCTTGATTGTATTCTTCCTTATCTTTTACTCAACTTCAAACTGTAGTACGTTTTTTCCAAGAATTAATAGGTTGAAATAACAACATATTGTTTGCATTTGAAAAGTTCAAATACGATTTGCTATTTATAATACTGTAGGAGATTACAATTTTTCAAACAGCAGAAAGGATACAATAATGAAAGGTTGCTTCTGTGAAACAAATAGGATTGTTTCAGGCTAATTTTAGAAAGTAATATTTTCACCGGATGGATTTTAGTAACTTAATTGAAAATCATGCATTTCTTTTCACCCTATGAAAGAGTAGTTATAGTTCTGATCCTTTTTCTCAATCCAGTAGCTGTGTCAGACCGTACATGAGTGAAGCATCCCTATGCAACCAAATAATGCATTGTAAGCAGCCCAATACCAAGAATTAACCCATTTAGTAGTAACATTGCACAATTCATTTAATATTCTGCCTACAATATTCATTTGTCGATGTAGGGAATTTAAATATCACACATTAATCTAGCTTTATACAAGCTAAAATAACTGGTCAAATTTTAGTCAGTTGGAATATTTTGCCATTGCACAGATGATAAGGTGAAAAGTTTAAAAGACTTCAATTTGAATGACAAGCCTGAAACATCAAAACCTTTTCCTTTTTTTAGAATGAAACTATTGAAGTCACATTGCAACTATCTTTTGTTTTGATAGAATCTACATTTTAAATCAATAAATCACGTAAAAAAGTGTTTGCAAATTTTGTGACTGTATTGCAAAATATGTTGTTTATCATACAGGGGCCAGATGGCAAGAATGCATTTGGATCCAAAGGAATAAAAGGAAGAAAGGTAAAACAATTATTATTGTTGTTGCATGTAGTGTTAATTAAGAGTCCCAATGAAAGCATGAGTGAGGGTATCAGAACTGATGCATTGTGCCACATTTCTATCTCATGGTCCTTGCAAACATTATATTTACTCTCTATTCTGCTACTTGATCTGAAAAACACTACTTGCTGTTTTTAAAGTTTGTTTTGAAAAGATGTGTCATTCAAATGTTGATTATTGTTTAACCCATTATAGCAGCAACGTTCCTGGAAAGGCAGATCATTGATAAATTGCAACTGACTTATCATTTGACTTATCAAATAACAAAATTTTGCTAACTGTTAGAAATGAGAGGGATTAATCAAAATGGAGAATGAATTTTCTCATCAGATGTAATGCTTAGCTTGCTTCTATGTTTCTGTGATGTTATTTTTAGGCATCTTTTAAATTAAATGGTTTAAAGTATACGGAAAAACAAACAATGTAACAAGAACACGCTAACCTCTTGGCTCGAAACCCAAATTCAGTGGCTCCTAAACTGAAAAATAAATGGGCTGTCTGGGAAGGCAAAGCAGGACTCGAATGTTAATTAAAGTCTGCATACCATTGTATCACTGGAATGTGACTAATTTTATTTACAAATAGTTGTTTTGATGACAAAAAAGAAAAAGACCACAAATTTCCTTGATGCCTGGGGCACACAGATGACAAGAAAAGTTGGTTGGGACTTTGAAATGTTGACCAGTGTTCGGGGAGAGAAGACAAAACTAGTTTCCAGTGGGGTCCAGGGTAGCAGAGTTCCAACCATCTTAAAGAAAGTCACTTAATTCACTAAGGATTGTTTTTCCTGCCAGAATTTCTGCGGCTTCCACCAACTTTCCATGAATAGTCTAGAGACAAAGAAGAATTAATACCAAGTCCATTGACAAAATTTGCCCATCATGGCTCTTGGTGGAAATGTGCATGTGCTGCAAATACCATTTTGGGCACCAAACAGCACTCACAGACAGCACACAATTAACCACAAATCTTCATTGCACACCATTTGGATCCAAAATTCCTGCTCAGATAATGTCAAGTGTGGGGAATCACTGGAGTATGTAGAAACTGAGCAGCAGTCCTTTGGCTCTGATATCTTTGGCAATGGCATCAGTGCAGTGTTGACATGCGGGTGGGGGTATGTCAGTCAGAAGGGCTATTACTAGTAGCAGCAGTAGTGCTGGGTACAGTGCCCAATCTTGGCCTTACAGGGCCTCTAAAGAAACCTGGTGAAGGTATCTTTTGTTCTAGATAGTAGTAGTAAAGGGAAACAATTTAGTTATTTTGGTGAGCAAATCAAACCATTAAAAAATGACGCAGCTCAGAGGCACGACAAAGGAAAATGACTTATGGGTAAGATGGTAGTGCAGAATACCAGCCAGGTTAATAAAAGAGGTTGTTTTACCATCTTCAGCTTGTCAACTGGAAGAGAAGGTCAGTTGATGAGGAAGTTCAATGTATGACAAAGTGTATGAGGTATAGGAGTATCGTAGTCTTTGATGCTTTCATCTGATCATGGTCTCAATCTTGGGCATCCTAGTAATGTTCAGCACCACTGCCTCAATGGGGGTCAGGGTATAGTGTCACACCTTCGAGTTAACACCAGTGTGTGCCACCTTTTCCGACAGGGGAGAGGGAATTGTGTCAGTGAGTATTGTGAAATCTGATTGGTTGAAATGGCTGCTATGGTTTTGTAATTATCAGTATGACCAAGCTTTGAAAGTATTTGTGAGTCTTGAAACAGTGCTAATTGTTGGCAGATGAGAGATGGGGATGAAGTGAAATGAGCAGTGGCTGAAGTGCATTGTGTAGTTGGTACAATATGGCATCTGGAGCTGCATATACTGATCTTAAACACTTGTATAAAGTCATTGATCCTCTTGCAGCACTGCGTCCAGTTCCTTGAAGCTTGATGTCTGGCGTTAACCTCCATAAGTGGTTGCTCCAAGTGCCTTTTGATCATCTGTAGATACAGAACTTTAGTCCTCTTTTACACTTCTTCCACCAATGCCTGCAGGAGATCTTGCAAAATTTTGCAACCTATGCTGTCCTATGTTATGCTGTTTTTCACTGGTATTAGACAGCTTGATTTTGGCACTTTGCAGATGTATCCAGCCAGTGTTGATGATACAAGCTGGATGTTGCCATCATTTAAAACAGCCAGCAGGAGTAGGTGTGCTGTCTGTATTGCATTGATATAGGTTATTTGTGCTTCATAATCTCCGTGCCAGGTTTCAGGCAATCAAACTAAACCTCCCTGAGAGCTTCAAGTGTTTAATTTTTGGTTGACTTGATAGCATGTCCTTCAGAGGGCAGAATTGTATCGCTCTTAAGTAAAGGATTTGAAAAAAAAGCACTTGTATTTTGCACAGCCCAGTTTCTGATTCAGAGCTGTATGTAATTATCGCTTGGATTGGAGAATATGGTACAGAGACTCAGGACCATTATATGTAATGCATTCAAATTTTTGGTGAATGAAAATTAACCAGAGAAAAATTAATAATGCCATGAAATTGGTGCTCTGACTTCAATTCCTAATTCTCTGGTCCATGTTACACAGATTGCTTCTCATATTCTAACATTGTATATAGAAGGTTAACACACTGTCATGGAATTAACCCTTGCACATACACCCTAAATCATAGCATCAGGAAAACATGAAAATTATTTATATTTGTTGGCTAATGTAACTTGCCAAAAACATTGAGTTGCCTATCTACAACAATGTATTAACTACTCGGGACTGAAATTTGTTTGAGGACTATTTTAGCAAAATCATAAGCTCACTTAAAGTGACGTATTTAGAACTTGGTTCAAGTCACATCCAATAATTTGTTGCAAGTATGATGTGATCACTTAAAATGGAGCACTTCAATATTAAGATTCTTTAGTTCATGACACAAAGAGAATTTGCTTACCTAATATTGCCAATTCTAATTTAACAGAGGTGAGAACCACTTGGACACAAGGACAATGTGCTTATTTTATGTTGCAAATTCTAATGTAATGGAGATCTAAACCACTTGACAACAAAATAGTTAAGTAATCTCAGTGATTTTCAAAGTAAATTTCATATTCACTTCCAAACTTTAAGATAAGCCACATCTAATCCACCCGGTACAAATAGACGGTGCTACAAGTTTGATTCTGTAATTCTCTGCTTCCATTCAGTAAGAGTTTTTGTTGGGAAATCCATGCTTCAGGGCTAGAGAGCTATTTCTGAGCAGTGCTGTCTTTGAGTTTGACTTCCCTGCACTGAGTACAAGAAACACTGGATCACTTCTTACAAAAGTTTGCAACTTAAAATAACTTTACTCAGATGCTAGTTACTTTAGAGGTATCTGCAATGTTGCAGTAAATAGTATGAAGTCAGTTAAAATACAGATAGTTGAGTAGGAAGTTGATATATAATACACTTGTAATAATATTTTAACATTATCATAGCAATAATGGTGCCATAGGAAGACCAGAAATTTTGATAAATTGCACCCTTAATAAAACAGAGAAAAAGAAATTAGTCAAGTTTTATTTCAATATGCAGTAGCCAGTATATGTAAATTGAACAATCAATTTGATTAACACAAATTTCCTTAATTTCCCATATATTTTTAAACACAATGGTTTTAAAAATGTTAAAAATGTGTTTATCTTAGTTTTTTTTTCTAATTTGCCACTGTAACTCCAGTCCACATCCTGCGTAGATCACGTAAGTGGTATTCCCACTGCACTTCAGCCTGTAAGAACCCAAGTGGCAATTCTTCATGTGACAGTGCAAACCCAGTGTTGCATTAACAATATTTCATCTCCAAATCAAACAACTGGAATATCACACAGGTAAAACTTCTGTTTGTCAATATAGTTGGATATTCTCCCTAAGCAGTAAGACACCTTGACTATAACGCTTATGAACAGATTGGTAAGATGTAGTGATTGGAAACAGCTGGATCTTGTTGACTACGAGATCCTTAATTGGGTTTGTTAACCTGGGCCAATCAGGAAAGTCTCGCCTGACCAATATAACCAGGAGATTAGGATCTCCTCAGTTCAGGGGACTGACTCTGAGCTGCTTGGCCACAGTGTACTGTGCACAAGTAAATAAAGGAAGAGTTGGTGATGGGATGCTGGCCTCTGTGCAGTTATTTCCATAGCGACAGCAGAGAACAATACCTGGCTGAAGAATATTTGCTCGCCACAGTCATCTTAGAGTTGGGTAGCATTTCTGGCTTCATGCCTTGATCAGAGAAGCTTGACACATTTGATCCTGCTGTCAAAGATTGGGCCCAGTATGTGGAAAGAATGCAATATTTTTTCTGGGTAAATGACATTGGGGCAGATGAAAAGCAATGAGTAATCCTTCTGACTGCTTCTGGACCCGCAGTATTTTTGGTTTTAAGGGGCTTGACATTCCCAGAGGCACCAGACACTAAAATCTTCCAAGAGTTTATGGAGTTGGTTAATGAATATTACAACCCCAAACCTCCTGTAATTCTGAGACGCTATCGGTTTTATTCAGTTGTTAGAGAACTGGGGGAATCTGTATTGGGATTTTTGACGAGATTGTTAGGACTGGCAGAGGCATATGATTTTGGGTTAACCCTGATTGAGATGCTGAGATGTGGGAATAATGATGTAACTATGCAGAAGTGCGTGCCAGCTAAAGCCCAACTGGACTTCAAACAGACACTACAACTTGTCATTAGTAAATGCAGCAAGAGTAACATAGGAGCTGAAGGGCATCCTGATGGATGTGGACACCCTCACCTGCCTGACTGAACTTGGGGAACACAACTTGAGAGTAGGCAATTGCAAAGCCTCACTTAGGACGTATCCTGAGCAGAGGCACGCTAGACCAGTTTACAGGATAACCCTACAACAAAGCTGAGCCTCGGACAACTGGCTAAAATTTTCTTCAGGATTTGGGCCGGCAAGCCATTGTAGCTGTTTCCAGTATGCGAGACAACAATGGAGTCTGAGAAGGCCTGACTTAAGTAAGAAAACTCATAGCCAGGAGAGTGCACACCCTGGAAAGTCCCCCTACATGTAGGTTGGAACAATTAAATTGCTTAGTGACATCCAAATCGGAACCGATTAAAATTAATGTTTGGTTAAATGGTCACCCTATTCCAGTGGAGGTTGATACCGGCAGAACTGTATCGGTGGTTGCAGAATCTATCTTTAACAAGAATCACTTGGGACCCCAACCCTTAAGTTCGTGCAAGACCTCAGCCAGACTGAGAACATACACTGGGAAACAGTTGTAGATTAAGGGTGTGACTTCGGTTCCAGTCTCCTATGAGAAGCAGTTGGTGCAGTTATCACTGATGGTAGTAAAAGGCCCGGGCCCAAGCCAGTTGGGGTGGAATTGGTTGAGAAAGATTCACCTGGATTGGCTCAACATTTTTAGTTGGAAAATGGCTGCCTCAGTGAAATCCTGGTGAAATACCCAGTAATATTGCAGGAAGGGCTTGGGAATATCAAAGGGTCTAAAGCCACTTTACATGTTGACCAGGAAGCAATTCCAAGATTTTGCAAGGCCCGCTCAGTGCTATTTGCCTTGTGGGCAAAAGTAGAAGCGGAAATCAGGAGGTTGGAGAGTGAAGGAATCATCAAATCAGTGCAGTTTGAGAAATGGGCAGCTGATTGTGAAATCTGATGGCTCAGTTTGTCTTTGTGGAGACTTTAAGCAAACGGTAAACTGCTTCTCACAGCTGGATAAATACCCGATCCCTTGCACACAGGACTTGTACGCAAAGTTGGGGGCGGGATGGGGGGTTGTTGGGGAGCTGTCCTTTATGAAGTTGGACATGAGCCATGCCTACCTGCAATTGTGACTGGATGAGGAGGGTTTATATCAATCTACAAGACTATCATTTGGGGTATCATCATCCAGCGGGCCATGGAGAACATTTTATAAGGGTTACCCCAGGTTGCCATTTATCTGGATGACGTATGAATAAGAGGGAAGACCAATAAAGAGCATTTGGAGAACTTGGACTTTGTGCTTAAACATTGCTCCCAGGCAGGTGTATGCATAGAAGGGGAAATTGTGTGTTCCAGGCACCCCAAGTGACTTACTTAGGTTACAGAGTCCACAAAACCAGGTTACACCCATTGGAACATAAAGTGAGGGCAATCAAAGGAACCCTAGCTCCCAAGTCTGTTCCGGAGCTTAGGTCTTTCGTTGGGTTAGTGAATTATTACGGAGAATTCGTATGAAATCTGGTGTCCATCTTGGCACCTTTACACCTGCTGTTGTAAAAGGATCAGCCTTGGAAACGGTGGTGTAGCGAAGAAGTAGTCTCTAGGGAAGTGAAAAATCAGCTATCGTCATCCTGAAGTGAGAGGTGGTGCTGACGTGCATATCCTTCCTGTATGGTAACAGGGTAGTATTGGCTCACCGGTGGCATAACGGAGGGGAACGCCCAATAGCGTGTGCTTCCTGGACTTTGGCTGATGCCGAATGCAAATATGCCCAAATAGAGAAGGAAGATTTGGCAGTTGTCTTTGGTGTGAGGAAGTTCCACCAGTACCTTTACAGCTGGAAATTTGTCATAGTAACAGATCACAAACCCCTGCTAGGGCTACTGAAAGAAGACAAGGCGTTGCCTCTGGTGGAATTCAGCATTGGGCCCTTATTCTCAGCGCATACAAGTACAAGTTAGAATAACATCCAGCAAGCCAAGTGGCTAATGCGGATGCCTTGAGCCGCCTCTCATTGGCAGATACTCCACCAGTGGTGCCTCCCCTGGAAGTGCCTGTTTTGTTTTTAAAATTCCTGGGCACCCTTCCAGTCACCACTGACAATATCTGACTGTGGACACAAAAAGATCCTGTCCTAGTGAAATCAAAACAGCTGGTGGTAATGGGGAAAACAGAAGGGCCATCACAACCAGGGTTTAACCCTTTCTGGACCTGACAAGACCAAATCACCATAGAGGATGGCATCTTGCTGTGGGGAGCAAGGGTGATTATCCCAAGTGAAGATTGCTGCTAGACACTGGCTGAACTCCACCAGGGTCATCCACGGGTTTCCAAGATGAAGATGTTAGCAAGAAGCTACGTCTGGTGGCCAGGGTTGGATGCTGACATAGCTGTGTTGGTGGGGCAGTGCCCAGAGTGCCAACAGGGACAAAAATTGCCACCAGCAGCACCCCCACATTCTTGGAAATGGCTGGGTAAACCCTGGACTCGGTTGCATGTTGACTATGCCAGTTCTTCCATGGGTTCAATGTTCCTGATCATATTGGATGCCCATTCAAAGTGTTTGGATGTGCACGAAGTTCATTCAGCAAACTGAAGGGTGACAATTGAGAAGCTGCGAGCATCGTTCACAATACACGGACTCCCAGAAATATTGATTGCGGACAATGGGACACCATTTACCAGCTGGGAATTTGAATATTTCCTAAAGTCAAATGGCATGCAGCACATAAGGACAGCTTCATACCATCCATCATCCAATGGTTTAGCAGAAAGAGCAGTCCAAGCGCTGAAGGCAGGCTTGAAGAAGCAGCCTACTGCTTCACGCAATACCAAACTGTCCCAGTTCCTGTTCGATTGTAGGACCACTCTGCATGCAACAACGGGGATAGGTCCAGCAGAGCTGCCGATGGGGAGAAGAGTCTGCATCAGGTTAAACCTGATATTTCCAGACATGGGTAGGAGGGGGTATGAAACGACAGCAAGAACTCCAATGCCGGCCACATTCCACCTCTAAGCGAGAGAGACAGTTTAGCTCAGGGGACAAAGTTTGGTGCTGGAATCAAGGAAATGGCCCTGTATGGGTACGAGGAGAGGTTGATGCGAGGTCAGGTCGTGTGACTTACAAAATTTGGTAGGTGATACAGTCCTGAACAAATATCTGAATCACCTGAAAGCTGTTACCTTGCAAACGGTGCAGGAGCAAAATATACCTGGCCCCTCAGAACAGCCAGAAGGCCTGCCAGAAACTGTAGATTCTTTTCCTCTGTCCACTGTCAAGGAAAACTCAGAGTCCGAGATGGATGCAGCCTCGATATCACCGGAAGAAGAGGAGGAAACTCTCCCGAGACGCTCCAGATGCATGAGATGGGCTACGGTCTGGTACACGCCACTGGTGTCAGAGTTTGAGTCAGAGGAGCCCGACCTGGGGTGAAAGAAAAGTTACAAGAGAAGGAGCAGGCCTACATCCCCGGACTTACTAAGGGAGGGGTGGAACCAACTGGATCTTGTTGACCAATACAACCAGGAGATCAGAATGTCCTCAGTGTGCAGGGGACTGACGCCGAGCTGCCTAGTCACAGCCAGTGTACTGAGTACAAGTAAGTGAAGGCTAGCATGGTGATGGGATACCAGCCTCAGTGCAGTTATCTTATAAGAATTGAGGTTAATGGGTCTGAGTGTACAAAGTTATTACTGGTTTATTTGTAAGAAAACACATAAGCTATCAGAACAGACAAACTCACAGTGCTCATCCAGCTAGCACTGTTCACTCTGAAATGGTATTTCAATTTAAATGTTAAGAACTGGCAAGCTAGATCTACTCCTCAAGGCATAATTAATTAAACTAGCTGCTTGAACAATCAATAGCAATGCCTTGGAAGATTCCGTGCTTGCTGGGATAAGATGTCAGTTGACCAAGTCTACATAAAGGACTGAATCAATCTTGAAGTTGCATCACCAGATAGGAAGGAAAAGATTAAGAATCGCATTCATTTGGCAAGTTTAGGATATTTCGAAGCTTTGTTCAGTTAATGAATTATTTTTGAAATATAGTCACTCTTTTTACCTAGGTAAATGTGGTACCCAATGAAGCACTATGTCTTACAATCTATAAGTGAGGTAAATGGGCAGAAAACTGTTCTGGGTTCATGGATACATTGGCAGGGTATTGCAAGAAGCACCTTGCTCTCCCTAAATTATACCATCAGATCTTGTAAATTTAAAACTAGAAAAACTGTGTTGCTAATGCTAAATTGAGAATAAAGGATTGTGAAAATAAGTGGATTAGCTAGTACTATTTAACAAATAACTCCTGGATAACCTCTTCATTTAGATGAAACTTGTATAATATTCCATGGATGATTTATTATAAAGATAGAACCAAACATTGGTCTAGCTTCTTTAAATGTGGTCAATATCAGAGACTCAACAGTTAAAGATCGCAGAGCTAGTGTTTCTGGTTTCTGTCATCCTAATATAGGATAGCTAAGAGCTGTATTAACATTGGCTTTGTTGCCTGGCCCTCGAGATACAAATGCCTTCTATGTGCACTATTCAAAATGGCTACCTATCTGACAAGACAAGGGACATGAATGTAAGAAGACAAAGGGAGCCACAAGACGCTAGCTTTAACATTACTGGCCTACTTCTTTAACACTTATCAGCCCAGCTGCATTTCATCCTGTACAGAGAGGTCGCAAAGAACCAGGGGTGTGCCAATGAGGATTCGGACTGCACAATTGACCACTTGTCCTTTCTTCCTGATCATTGGGAATTGGATATTCTTTCCTGAAAAGCTCAGGAAAATCAACGTTTACAACTCATCGGGTGATTAAATAGTTCATATCTAATATTGTTTCCTCATAAAGGTACTAATAACACAGATAGCTCTAAATATTCCAGAGGAAAATAGTTAATACAATTAGTGATGATAATATATATTTTTGGACTAAAATGATTGCTCTTGAATCACATTTTTTTAGGGAACACGTGGAAATCCTGGAAATGCTGGTCCACAGGTAACCATCACAATTAATTAAAAGAGAATATTGATGTAAAATGTAAAGATACATTATTATGGCTTATCTGTATTTGTCTATCATGGATTTCAGGGAGAGGATGGAGATCCTGGATTCCCTGGTAATGAAGGATCAAAAGGAACAAGAGGTCGCAGGGTAAGATTTTCATTAAATTGCTATTCTGAACAACTCCATATAAAGGAAGTTCTAACTGCGCATCATAGGTCTCAGACGACCACTTCTATATGTGGTGTTTTTTTAATTGAACTTTCAATGATTTTATAAATATATTGGATTGTAACCACAGTAGAAAGAAGTTAATTCATTAGCTATTCCTGCAACCTCATTTATATCCCGTGTAACAGATCAATGAAATATTTAAGAAACATTTGACAATTCTGAAATGAAGTATATTAATAAGTTATAGTTACAACTGATGTGTAATTGTAGAATTTTTTTATAACTATCGCTGATATTTATTGTTGATGAAGTTTCAAGTGAAATAATGTGATATTCTTGTAATATTAGGGTAACATGGGCGTTCCCGGTGATCCTGGTGAGCCAGGCTCAATTGGAGATCCTGGAGAAACGGTAAGATATGTTCCACAAAATGAGTAAACCAATCACGATAATAATCAATGTGCAGACCAAGTTCTGGATAGGTGCCACAGCACATCAAATGAGATGTGCTTTGCCTGTAATACGAGTCTTTAGTACTATCACAACAATGATTTTTGATTATTATTCTTTCTCTATGGTTTTGTACTTACCGTCAACTTAAGCACATAAAATCAAAACACTTATCAAGACAAATGTCAGTAATAATGACAAAATTACTTCTAATACTTCACTCGTGCTCTGCCCAAACACAGGTCCTTAATTCAGCTTATTGTCTTTTGACTCTTTACCCTGAACTGTTTTCTTAGCAACTTTTTTGTCATTAGTGGTTGGTACTACCTTCCACTCTCAGGCGCAGGGTGAGGAGGCCTCAGCAGGAATGGGACTTATGCCAATAGTATGAGTTTTATTCTGAATCACATGCTAGCTGTACAGACAACTATGCCAATTGGCCCCCATTTCCCATACTTATCACAAGTTCAATCTAACCGCAAAACTAAACGACCTATACATTTTGAACTTTCGATAGTAGCCCGAGCATCCTCTGTTAGTCTTTTGGTGCATTGGCAAAAGTGACTTGTTCTCTATTGTTTGCTTTATGTATTGTGCCCAGATTTTTAGTTGATCAACATTTCACGCTCCTGTGCCTTGTTCTTGGAAAAGACCTTGCTGTTTACTGAGGGGCACTTATGAAACAGAAATGGTGCCTAAACTGAGTGACAGTGCCACTGGCACTGTAGTTGTTTGCTTTCTGAGAGGTGTGCATTATGTTATTAGGTACTTCCAGCTTGGCCTGTAGTGCATTCACCTTGTGAAGGATGTGTGGGCTCCCGTCTCTGATGACCCTGGACAAAACACTAAAATTATGTTATGATCTGGTTAGAGATCAATAACTTTTTGTTTAAAATAGAGAAATTTTGAGATCCCCTGTGCTTATTAAGAGAATAAACCACAAGATTTAACATTTTCAACAAATTTCACCATACACTTTAATAGATTAAAACAAGCTACTTTGAAATTTAAACTCTCATGTCCAGAATTAATGTGAGGTAAATATGATTTGATAGATAGACTGTGAAGGGACATCCCACAGGGTGCAAAAAGTAACAGATACCTCCAAGGCAGATCCCAGAGATTCCTCAGCAACCTGATAATTAAGAGTGACATTGTGGACCACCAAATCTCCTTTATAATGGATACCAATTCTTCACTCTTGAATATCTAGCTTCAAAACTGCCTCAATAACTGCTTACATCCTGGTTGTTCATTCTCTTCCCCTGAGATTGTATTCCACAGGATTCCCGAGGCTGCTCACTGAGACCTACTCATGGATAATGGCAGGTTGCAAATCAAAATGTTCTGACCCAAATAATGCCAGGAACCAACTGTTAGCACATGTAGATAAAAGAATAGCCAGAGAAGGAAATACATTTTCTAAGTAAACTTGTTAGACCACTTGAGTGGGGGAAGCATCCCAGGATCACTGCTATTTCTAATATTTATTCATAACTTGTATTTAGAAACTGAGTAAACATTGTGAAATTTACATCATGGAGGTCAAAACCCTGGAATCATTAATGAAAGAGTAATGTATACCTTTCAGCCTTTAAATTACATTTACAGGGTTTATAGATGTTTAAGGGGTGATTTGATAGCTGTTATTAGAATTTTGAAAGAACTAATCATGTAATTAGATAGAAACTGGTGTGCAATCCTAAAACAAGAGGATATGATCTTAAAATCAGACACAGACCAAAGGATGATTGAAGTGGGGAATTCCCTCTAACATAAAGTAGTAGATGCTAATTCAATTAATAATTTTAAATCTGAAATTAATGAAATTTTGTTAGCTAAGGGTATTAAGAGTGTTGAAGCCAGGTCAATTAGGATATACATCAACCATGGTAACATTGAATAACAGAACAGGCTTGAGGATCTAAATGGCCTTTTCTGGTTCCAGTATTCCTCAATCTTAACAGTTCATTTAACACTCGCTTTGAAAGAAAATAGCATGTAAGGGTGTAGTGCTTGAAACGAGGTGGATCTTGTTGGCTATGAGATCCTTGAGTGGGTTTTTTAACCTGGACCATTCAGGGAGTCCTGGCTGACAGATATTAGCAGCAGATTCAGAGTCTCCTGTCTTTTAGGGATTGGTCCCAAGGTGGCTGGTCAGAGGCTCTGCACTGTGCACATGTAAATAAAGGCTGACTGGGTGACAGGATACTGGGCTCAGTGCAGTTATTTCAAAGGATAAGATTTTAGAAAATGAAAATCTAGATTTAAGTCAATTTTTATTGCATTTCCTATGGCTCAGTAAGTTCATTGAGAGAATAATTGAGTCATACATCTAAGAAATGTCCAAGATTTAATAACAATTGGATTTTGCAACTTAGATGTTCTCAACTGAGGCAACAGTAGGAGTACTTCTATCTCACTGCTTTAAGCAGCAAACAAAAACACAGCCAGATTTCAGCTCCTGCTTATATTCTAGCGATTGCCATGAAACTGTAGATATTGAGTGAGGTTAAGACCAGATTCTGCTGTCATATTATTTATGACCAATGAGTTAAAAATGAGTTCAGAGCTACTTGGGCAGAACAGTGAAATGTGGTGATGACACAATATTCTGAAAAATGCCAATAGCTTCAGGGCAAAAGGGGAGAAAACATTAATAACACTGAAAAAAATTGTATCCTTTGAACAAGTTTTATTTTTCCTTTATTTCAGGGCCAGAAAGGACCACCAGGTCATGCATTGGAAACGGTATGTAACTTGCTGTATATGTAAAAAGTAATTGTGTATCAAATTGTAGGTTTTTTTTCCCTAAAAGTTTATTTGTAAACTTTAGTTTTCTCATTTTCTTTGCAGTCTTGTGGCCTTATTGCATATATACGAGAGAGCTGTCGTAAGTAACAATTCTTTTATAAGTTTCGTCTCAGCGTTTTAAGCTCCAGTCTTACAACAAAGTTGGGAAAATTGAGAAAAGTATTGTACTTGAAGGTTTTCATGGGAATGTGAAACCAAATTGTTTTCATATTTCTTTAGATTGTAAAGATGGTATCTTTTTATTTCACTCTTGAGTGTAAACTGAAGTAGTAAACGAACTGTTTTAAAACTAAAGGTGTGGAAAGATTAGTTGCACTTTTAAAAAGCAAGTTATTGAAATTCATTGTAGGTCGTGTTAACACTACTGCTTCATTCAGACAGTGTGGGGAGCCTGTTTATACATGGGCTGGCACCAGGGCATATCTGCAAATTGAGAGTCGGCGACAGGTTGCTGGCTGATGTATGGAGTTGTAATTGGGAATGACAAAGGCCATCAGTCTAATGACACCTGGCTTCTGGCTAGCTGAACAGCTTGTGGGTGTGCAGAATACTGGCAGAAGCTTTCAGACTGCTGCAAAAGGCATATAATGTTCTTTCCCTCCAAGTTTCTTTGAAAAAAATCAACTCTGAAGAAAGTCACATTATTTTCGCTCACCAGTTTCTCGTCTTCTGCAAAGAATTGCAAAGAACAGAAAATCCAGGAAAGCAAAAGGAACATCTGTGCAAACCCTGTGTAGTTGTCCCATTGAATTGCTTCCCCAGTTTTCTCCCTCCACTGATGTCTCCAAGTATCTCCTTGTGTCTGTCTGTATGCGCATGTGGTGGGGGAGTTAATATAAGGTTACATACAATAGCATATGTATTCTCTCAAACAGTTATTACACTGGTGTTACCTAAGTTTTAATGGATAATGTCAACATTACAAAATTGTGTCAAGGAATTTAATATAAGTAGGTTTAGTGCTTGTACAGGAACAGAAGCAGTTGTAAAATAACTCCATGATCAACACTATATTTTCACAAGGTATTTTAGATTGTAATTGATATCCTAACATAGAAATTAGACATAGTCACCTCATTTTAGATTTACCCATTTAATTAACTGAAGGATGAGCAGCACAGATTATTCAGTGAGTAGAAATATGCATCTTGCTGACTGCTTTTGTTTCCTTTGAACAAATCAATCACCATCTGATCCCAAGTTAAGCACCAAAGCCATCTCTAACTACCCAGTAAAAATCAACTGAACACAGACAGGGATTCCTGTGACCCTCCTAGTCTTTATGGCTCAGATACTGAATGTTTTAATCAGCAGAATGAATGAGGGAGCCTCCAGAATGTCTGTTTTGCTACTGTGGAATCAGTAATTCAGAAGAGACAGCCCCATAAAATGTTGAATCACATGATAAAGCTTTCTGTTTGCTTTCTCTTCAAAGTGAATGTTTGCTATAACATCTCCTTTAATCAGGGTATCATACAAGATTTTTTTGGACTGTTGTTAGTGATCAATGAATCAAATCAAGTTTGAAATGCAATTTGGAGTTTGTTTTTAAATACAGAAAGTAGATAACCTTGCCTTTGCATCATATTTTCTCAAGATACTCAACTAGAAACCAATGAAATATAAGGAAGACAAAAATAAAGGAATGGCAGCCTCAAGACTAAAGTCAAGCAGTCTTTCAGTTTGTGCCATTGTGTCTGCAGCCATTTCTCCTCCTTAATCTCAACACTAATAATTGATTGAAGTATTCAATCCCACCCCTTTTTAATAAGACTGAAATATAGTTCTCAAGACTACAGCTTTGTAAACAGAAAGATATCCTTCATGGTAGCATAACTAAAACTTTTCTGAGGTTTAGCAATCTCACATATTTACATTAAATTAAGCTGCAAAACCATTTATAAAATGTGTTTTTTCAGATACCAATAGTTAGACTATTGATTATTGTAGTAGTTTAAATTAACAGGTGATAATAAAAATGTTACATTGGAAATTCATCATTAATTTTACTTTTCTTTTCTTCTTTAGCTTGTTGTTCACAAAGTAAGTAATCATCATAGAGGTTTGCAAATTAAAACATTTGCCGATCCTTTGAATTCTGTCCCTTGCTTGTTTGAATATATGATACTTTTTAATATTTTGCTTCTCTGCATTGTTCCAGGAAAAGGAAAGTGCCCTGCATACCCCACAGAGTTGGCATTTGCTCTGGACATGTCTGAGGATGTAACACCAGCAATATTTAAACAGATGAAGACCATTGTAATTAATTTTCTCAAGGATATTAGCATTGCTGAAAGTAACTGTCCCACAGGGGCTCGTGTCGCTGTTCTCACCTACAGTAACGTGGCAAGGCCTTTCATTCGATTTTCAGCCTTTAAGAAGAAACAGTTAATGCTGAAAGAATTAGATGCACTCTCATATGAAAGATCGAGTAACAGACGGAATATTGGCAGTGGTATGGAATTTGTTGCGAGAAATACTTTTAAACGTGTACGTAACGGTGTCCTGGTGAAGAAAGTAGCTGTCTTCATCACGAATGGAGGATCCCAAGACACTGAGGCCTTAGCCGCAGCTGCCACTCAGTTCTTTGCTTCGGGCATCACTCCAGTCATCATCTCCTTTAAGAACATCCCAGAGGTAGAACAAGCTTTTCCGGTGAGTAAAATTATTATATACACATATGTTTTTAACACTGAATTTGCTGCTTTGAAATTGTAAAAATTTGTTAGGCGAAAGTGTAAGATGAGCTAGAATCAGGATTATAAGCAGGAAGATGGGCATAATTTCATGGCAGCATTTCTTGGGTGGCACCACAATTAAAGTCTGCAGAGACCAATTTTTGCAGCGCACAGCCTTTACAAGTTCCATGGATGCATGAGTTGGCTGGAGGTGGGGCATATTTTCCTCACTCGGGCAGGCATCAAATTGGCCAGTGGTCCCAGCACTGCCACGCAAAGGACTGCTGGGATTATACACAATCCACACACATTCTAAGTACCAACAGCCAGCAGTGTGGTTGTATTGCAGCAGTGACCATAGGGCAGACAGTCAGATTGGAAAAGCCAAGGTGGTAATGAGCGCACAGCTTGGACCTGTGGAGAATGGGTGTGCCCACAATCAGGAAAGGAGCCCAGTGAGGAGGTGCGGGGTCGGGGGGGTGGTGGCGGAGGTGAACCTCCCTTTTCCCACACGATGCCTGTGCAGGCTAACCTGCCAGGCTTCACCTCCATCCTTGACTTCCTCCCACTGACCTCAGAATTGCAGCTACACTGGAAGTGGCCACTAACTGGCCACTTAAGGGCCTCGATTACAGTGGGGCTGCCCTAGGCTTTGCCTGACCTCTGTAAAATTTCAGAGGTGGGTGGTTTGGGGAATTTTACAGTTCCCCTGCCTGCAAACCCACTGGCCACTATCCATAAAATTCTGTCTTTAATTTTCAAGATCTATTTCATAAAACCTCTGAAACGTTCAAGCTGTGTGAAAGCTGGGAAAGGTTTTGCTTTCATGCATACCTCTGATGTGCTGCTTAAATCATAACCATATTAGAGGTTACATTTATGGAAAAGTTGATCTTAGATTAGTTTAAAAGTAGATTTCAAGCCACTAGCATGCAAAATTTAGAACTTGGGTAACTGCTTAGCACCTGAATAATCTATACTACGCAGTTAAAAAGTATTAAGGCATACAAACTAAATGCAAGTTTAGATTTCCTACTGTTTGATTGTAACTGCTCATTTGCTGTCGGGAAAGGAAGTATTGTTTAACCGTTACAAATATCAACATATAAAGTTGTGAATATTTGTGAGGTCTCAATGGGATCACAGTTTCTGTGGGATTAATGGATAATTTTTTAGGATTAGGAGAGTGCTCCTTTTTTCTTTTGTTTTAAAAGAAAGCTAAAAAAAAACAAAAGATAAGATAATGCTTCCAAGCATTTAATTTATCTTTTACAATTTCTTCTGGCCCAGGATCTAGTTCTTGACAGGCTTCCCTGTTGCCAGAGCAAACCAGCTCAGTTTATGAGTTAAAAATGTAGATCCGTCACATATTTGAAGGAGGACCCTGCTTCTTTCCGATGGACGTTTTCCCTATTGGCTCAAAGTAAGTCAATATTGGCATGACCACAGAAAATGCTGGAGAAACTCAGCAGGTCTGGCAGCATCTGTGGAGAGAGAAACGGAATTAATGTTTCGAGTCAACCATGACTCTTCTTCAGAATGGCTTATAATGTTGGAAAACTGTTTCTGCCAGTGGGGGCAATTGTGATTGGAGGCCATATTTCTATTACAAAATTATATTCCTTCATTTACAGTCATGGAGATGTTTTAATTTTGCTTTTCTTTACGTTTTTTCACAAGAATGCAGTGGTTGTATTACCAAGACAGCAACAACGTTCCCAGGAGCTGTTACAACAAGTCTTTTTATGTACACTTTGCTATGGTACGACTTTACGTTTCTGAAGCCCTCAGTCTACAATCTTGTGATTTGCATGCCCTGCCTGCAACACCTTATTCACCTGTGCCTTTAATAATATAGTTGAAGTTTAGGCAAATATATTATTTTGTGGAGTGAATTCCTGTAGTCTTTTCCCAAGATCTGTCAATATCTTGTTTAACAAAAAAAATTAATTATATATTTTAATATGTAAAAAGGTGATGTTTAATGCTTAATATTTCTACATAGGCAGCTATAAAGCACATACTTCAAAAAACATGGATCCAACACCCAAACATTTTGGTCTCAATTTTTGCTTCTGGATCAGGAGCACAGAGTTGGGACAGTTCCTGACTCTGGAAAACTAATCCCAGAAAATGTACCCCAGATGTTGGAATTTTCATTATGGTGTGGCAGATTTCTCTAGGAGTTTGGCGGGATGACACCAGAATAAGTGCAGTGACTGTTGGATGTGGAGGTGAGCTAGGTGGAAGCTTTCCCATGCCCCGTACATTCCTTTCACTCACTTCAATGGTCACTCATAAATCTCTGTGCCAAACCACACCTTCTACCAAATCCCTTGTCTGTCATATCTTGCATGTCAATTTATCACCAGTTGTCCATCCTGTATGGGCCCTCATGTCTTCCATGCCAAACTATTTCTGCCATCTGACCCCATGGCTGCTCCTAACCTCTATGCTTACCTATACCCTCCACCTGCTGCTAATGGAGCTATGACAAGATATTTCCAACTCATGCCAACCGATGTCCTTGGACTCACCCTATATCCACCATGGGCAGTCCTCCACACTTACAATAAAAGAAAATAAGACAAAATTTGAAGTATCTGTTACAGTATTGTGTATTTTTTGAAAATGATTGTATATACATATACATATACAATATATCATTATATAAAAACGGAAAGAACCGTGGATGCTATAAATCCGGAACAAAAACAGAAGTTGCTGGAAAAGCTGAGCAGGTCTGGCAGCGTCTGTGAAGAAAAAATCAGAGCTAACGTTTTGGGTCCGGTGACCCTTCCTCAGAACTTATTTCTCATGAGTTTTTCTTCAAAGGTGCTGCCAGACCTGCTGAGCTTTTCCAGCAACTTCTGTTTTTGTAAGTCATTACATTACTTGTTTAAACTATATAATCAAATTAAGGAAAAATATTTCATTTGATTGATTAATTCTAGAAAAATAAGTATTATATATCATAGTATCAGTTCATAGAGTCCAGTTTTGAGCTGTTGATAATTGCCAGCGTCCCACTGTGAAATAAAAGCATGTGAAATCAGTCAGGCATCACTAATCCAGTAATAGTTACCCTCAGGTTTATGTCAACAGACAGAGTGAAAGAGCAAGCATTTTTTTCAAATATTTAAAGGCCAGGATGTTTAAATTCTCCAATAGCTTGACAGTTGTTTTGTTGCTTTTGATAGTTCCTTTTGACAGCTCCCCTTCCTAATTTTGGCAGATGTATTTGTCAGTTCTAATGAGCCTCACTGTTCCAATGAGCTTTTCTACTTTTTATGCACATTAATGCCTGCTTTTAATAAATCTAAAGTGAACCTTGCCTCTCCCAAAAAGCAATTTACCTCTCAAAGGGCATCTTGTCTTCCCCAAAGGTATTCTGGGACTATATCCGAAGGAATACCATATCTTTCGGAAAGACTACCTGACTATCCAAACAAATCTATAAAGTTCCATTCTGTTCCTGTCAGGTCCAAACTGTACCCATCGTGATTCACAAAATGTGACTTAGCCCCATTCTCACTCTCACATGAAATGGTTAAGTTCCGCATTTCGGGGTAGGATTTCAAATTCTTTGCTCTCCCTGTTTACAATGCTCTGCATCGTTGTGAAAAAGCCGCCCTATTAAATAAATTGGTATTTTCTTGTCTTTCTGTTACAGATGAGTGTAGCCCTGATGACCAATGTCCAAGAAGAACTGCCCCATTGCTTATTCCAGTAAGCCTGGACATAGCTTTTGTTCATGATGACTTACGGCAAATGGAACCTACACAATCTGAAACAGTTCAGCATTTCCTGAGCTCAATGCTTAATCAGTTTGTCAGCTCTGCAGAACCTAAAACCCCTGATCTTCATCCCCGGGTGGCTCTGGTACACCACACACCAAATTACACACCAAAATACGGGAAAGTTCCTTTTAACTTAGAGTTTGGAGTTTTGGATTACACTGCAAAAACCCTAAAGAAGAGACACATCCATGACTCATTTAATCCGCTAGAGGGCGCCACTGGCATTGACAGTACCATTGAATGGACCTTGAAAAATTTCTTCTCAAATCTCACAAGTCAGAGAATTTACAAAGTTATTTTTACAATATTTTCAGGGGAGACAAGCATTGATGAGAAGAAATTACTGGAAATATCCCAAGAAGCCAAATGTAAAGGTTTCACGATATTTGCACTGGCCCTTGGGGAGGTATTTAATGTCACAGTCCTGGAGGAGTTTGTCAGTTTTCCTTTTAATCAACATTTACTTCATTTGGATAGAGCCCCGGAGGCTGAAATTGAATACGCGCAAAAGTTTGCAGTGAGTTTTCTGAATAATCTGGCAAGTAAGTGCAGCAACAACTTAAGTGGAAGTTTGTATAGCATTATACGATAACCACAAATGCAATTGTTTACCCAGTATTATTTTCGTTTTAATTTAAGTGAATTGTTATTTATCTGAATTGACTTCAGTTATGTATTGACCTTGATACATCATTGAAAACCTGCATATTTATTGTACCTGTTACTCGTTTAAGTGGACATGGTGATAAGCAATTTCAACCTTCCTGCTGTCATACTGTATGACATGTGATGCCTACAAATTGTACACTATTTTATCCCAAGTATGTTACCGTGACATCATGCAGGCTGGCAAATGGGTTCCGTTAAGTGTAAAATATCTTTTTCAGGTGCCTTTTATTTTACCACCAATACATATTTCTAATAACCACTATGATAGTTTAAACAGAAGAAAAAATATTTCACAACATCATTATTCATTTTATCTGCAGCATTGACTCCTGTGTCATTTTTAGACTTTATTTGATGACTTAAGTTTTGCCCAAAACCTAATACTTTCACCCAAGGCTCTGTGAGCTATATTTGGATTGTATTTTCTGAACATCTGGAGGGATGCATCAGTTTCAATCAGCTGCATTGAGGGGATATTTTTCCCTAATTGTTCGAACATTCCAGTAGCTTTGGAAAATCAGCAAATTTCAAAAGCTTGACAGAGATAAAACTTATGTTACACTTTAGTATAAGAAAAGATGTGTGTGTTTAAGAAAACAAACAAAAAAATGATACTGTTAAACTGGTAACGTACTGGTTTTGAGCTGCATAAACCAGACAAAATATAAAGAGAGTGGGGAATTTAGGAGTGAGAGAGGTTGGTGTCAGAGAGGGAAAAAAAGAGTGGCAACAGTACTTTCTGAATTTATTGTGAATTCATATTTAAATCACCAGTTAAATGTTAAAGTCAACAATTGATTTGAAGCTACCAGTTAGATTTCAGCATGTGAGGTAGATTTTTGTTTCGGTGTTGGTGAGAAACAGAACAGCAATAATTGTAACAAGTTACAGCAGATCATCAGTCATCATGGATATAATGTTGGAGTCTTTTTCCCAAGGTAGAAATGTTAATTACTAGGGACATAGGTTTAAGGTAAAAGGGCGTAAGTTTAAAGGAGATGTGAGAAGCAAGTTTTTTACACGGAAGGTGGTAAGTGCCTGTAATGCGCTGACAGAGAAGGTGGTAGAAACCAATACAGTAGCAACATTTAAGAGGTACCTTGACAGATATCGCAGGGAATAGAGGAATACAGACCGCTAGAGGCAAGGGATTTATAATTTAGAAAGGTGTCATGTTTCGGTGCAGGCTTGGTGGGCTGAAGGGCCTGTTTCTGTGCTCTACTGGTCTTTGCTGTTTGCTCTTCGTATAACAGGTTACAGCAGATCAGCAACCACTGTAATAGGTTACAGTGGATTAGCAGCCTGATCCTTTCAATTGCTAGAAAGAAATATTGAGCTGCATGTGTATAATCAGTGGCTGATCTGCTCGATCAGCTTAATGACATCGCTGAAAGTGAATATAGAGCCCAGAGATCCTAATTTTCAATGTCAAAGTGACAAAGAGAGCCAGACATAAGGAGAAAGCTTTACAACATTTTATTTTAAAATTCATTCTAATTTGAGTTTTCCTTAATGACAGTTGCGATGTGAAATTGGATTCAGCACCATATTGTGGTTTCCTTTCAGGAATCAGAATGGTGTTTGATGTGTACTTTGACAGTTCTGGTATAAATTGTTCCAGATGCTATATAGATGAGGGAGTTAATTTACACGCCTAAAGTCTGTGTGCAAGAAGTAGGTGGAAAATGATGTCAATCAGCAGAATCAATCCCACTTTGAAGAGCAATGTCAAAGCCAATACGGTCTCTTAACCTCACGCAGCCAAACATGTACTAAGTATGTTATGGACCAGACCAAGCCCCATCAAAACATGTCAAGGAGATAGTCTAGACCCTAACTTTTTCTTATTTTAAAGAGAAGTATCAGGCATTGCGTTCTGGATGCAAATTGATTGGTCAAACTTGTAGCAAAACACAGTGCATTCATACACAAAGTTAAAAGCCAACAAAAGAAAGAAGAAATTGGAATAACTTAACTCGATTGGAAAATCTAACAAAGTAATAGATTGTTTAACTACTAAACAGTAATATAGTAACATCCCACAAACACATACTTGGCAAAGGCAAATTCAGTAAAATAGATTGTCTCACAAGCAATCCTCCAGCCCAGGAGGAAAAAACATCAAGAGAAATCTCTGAGAGAGAGTAGAAGAGAGAGATATACTGCAGCTTCCAAATCCAGCTTTAGGACCCCAGAAGCAATTGATACTGAAAGCTTAAAACTAAAGAAAATCCTGGTTCTGTGTGAGCTTGACACCACCCCTTCAGACTGCTTCAATTGTTCAAACTTAAAAAAATCTCCAAGGCCTCACAAGCTGTTTACTTTATTGGATTCAAATAGACAACAGGGTACGTCTGTTTTAAAATGTCTCCAAAAAAAAAACCAGGACAAAATACATTTCTTAAAGCCATACTATTGTCATGAGTAGCAGGAAGAACCACCCAGATTGCTAGTTGATTTCTTCTGTCCATATAATTCTACAATAATTTGATTCTTTTTCTCCCATTAGTAGGGGAAAGAAATCATGAGTGAGAATGAACTATAGTGTCATAAACATTTCCACAATGGATGACAATGTACTTGAGAAGAAATACTGGGGACTTGTGGTAACATAATAGCAATAATCCTGGGTGATTTTAATTCAACAGGCAAAATCAGGTCGGTAACCCAAATAAGAAAAAAACATAAGTGAAATGGGGGAAATCACAGCAAGTCAAGCAGCATCCATGGAGAGAGGGCAAGCTAACGTTCCGAGCCTAGATGACACTTCATCAGCGCTGACGTGAAGTGCGCCTTTATGTAATAGTGGGGTTGTGGGGGGAGGGTGGAGTGCTGAGGGAGAAAGAATGTTGATAGAGCAGATTAAATGATCAGAATTTAAGAATGGCAGAACATTGGTGCGTCTAACAGCCAGACTGGAAAGAACAGATAGTCCCACTGGACTTGGGGGAGGGGAGACAGGACATAGTGACAAAGAATGTAACAAGTAAAGCTCAAAGAAAAGGAAGGAGTTAGAGTTGTCTCACAATCTGTATGTGTTGAACTCAATATTCTCATCTAAAGACGAGATGTTGTTCCTCCAGTCTGCACCATGATTCACTGGAGCACTGTAACAAGCCGAGGATAGACAAGTGGGCATGCGAGCAAGATGCTGTGCTAAAATGATTGGCTACAGGAACGTTGGGGTCATGCTTACGCACAGACCCAAGGTGTTCGTAAAGCAGTCACTCAGTCTGCGTTTGGTTTCTCCAATGGAGAGTAGGCCACATTGGGTGCAGCAGATTGGAGGAGGTACAGGTGAAATGCAGCTTCACCTCTAAAGATTGTTTAGGCCCTTGGATGGTGATCAGGAAGGAGGTGAAGGGGCAGGCATTATACCTTCTGTGGTTACATGAGAAGATGCCGTGGGAAGGGTGGTGGTGTTGGTGGTCAAGGAATGGACTAGGGTGTCCCAGATGGAACAGCTGCTGCAAAATGCAGACAGGCGGAGTGAGGGGGAAGACGTGTCTGGTGATGGCATTCTGCTGGAGTTGTCTGAAATGGTGGAGAATGAGCCTTTTATTTCATTCATTAACGGGATGAGGGTGTCGCAGGCTAGGCAGCATTTATTGCCCATCCCTAATTGCCCAGAGGCGGTTCAGAGTTAACCACATTGCTATTGGCCTGGAATCATATGTAGGCCAACTAGGTAAGGATGGCAGTTTCCTTTCCTAACGGACATTAGTGAACCAGATGGGTTTTTCCTGACAAAAGACAATGGATTTATGGTCATCATTAGATTCTAAATTCCAGATATTTTATTGAATTCAAATGCCACCATCTGCCGTGGTGGGATTCAAACCCAAGTCCCCAGAACGTTACCTGGGTCTCTGGATTAACAGTCCAGCGATAGTACCACTAGGCCATCACCTCCCCTTTGAATGCAAAGGCTGGTGGGAATGAAAAGAGAGGACAAGGCAGACCCGATCATGCTGTCATGAGTGATGGGAAGGGGCGGAAGCATGGGTGATAGGTCGGATGCAGTTGAGGGCCGTATCTACCACAGTGAGCGGGAAACCACAGTTATGGAAGAAGCAAGCCATGTCAGCAGCGCTGTTTTGGAAGGTGGCATCATCCAAACAGACACAGCATAGGCTAAGGAACTGGGAGAATGGGATGAAATCCTTGCAGTATAAGGGTTATAAAGAACTGTAGTGAAGGTAGCTGTTGGAGTCAGTGGCTCTGTAGAGGACGGCAGTGGACAGTTTTTTTCTGAAATGGAGATGGGGAAGTCAAGGAAAGGAAGAGAAATGTTGGAGATGGACCATGGTAAAGTTATAGGGGGGTGGAAATTGGAGACAAAATGTACAAAGTTTTCAAGGTCCAAGTGGGAGCATGAAGCAGCACCGAAACAGTCGTTGATATACCAAGAAAAGAATTGTGGGAAGGTGCCAGTGTAAGGCTGGAACAAGATTGTTCCACATATCCCATAAAGAGGCAGGTGTAACTGAGACCCATGTGGGTGCCCATAGCTGCTCCTTTGACTTGGCCGAAGTGAGATGAATTAAAGGTGAAATCGTTTGGTGAGAGAACAGGTTCAGCCAAGCAGAAGAGAGTGGTGGTGGATGAGGATTGTTCAGGCCTCTGGTCGAGGAAGAAGCCAAGAGCTCTCAAACCATCCTGGTGGGGAATGGAGGTATAGAGGGATTGGACATCCATGGCGAAGAGGAGGCAGTTGGGGCCAGGGAACTGGAAATTGTCAATGTGGCGGAGGGCATCAGAGGAATCGCACTGTAGGGGAACAGGGTCTGGACAAGGGGAGAGAGGAAGGAGTCAAAGTAGGAGGAAATAAGCTAGGTGAGGCAGAAACAGGCTGATACAAAAAGCATAGCAT